ACCTATGTGCAGACTCTTGGCTGCTGCTCCTGCAGGCATCATCTTCATTAGAACTTTATAACCGAGGCTTCTGCTTGTGGCTCTACAGGGCTACACCAGGGCTGTGAACTGCCTCACCGTCCTCTCACTTTCTCTTCTCAGTTCTTCAATGTGTGCATCCAGGCGCTCCAGAATATGGTGAGACCGTAGCTCCTCCTCCTCCAGAAACCTGGTAGCTACCGATCCCAGAGGAGAGACAGGCAGCGAGCACTGGGAGAGGCACAAATCGTGACACATGTTAGGAAGCAGGGGTGGGTGCTCTCCCACTACCTGTGATATTTTCTGCCTAGCAATGCCAAAAGGAGAGACGTCTATATCTTAATGCCAAGAGAGAAAAAAGGAAGTCCTGAAAATATTGCACCACAGGTCTCTTTCTTTCTGACCCAAGCAGGGTTCATGTGAAGTGTAAACAGCTCATTGCTAGTTTGAGAGTATCTCAGCTCAGTCTTGAATGCCTGCCTGCCACTCGGAGAACACAGCCAATGCCTGCTATTTCAAAACCTTGAAAGCACGGAAAATCTACAAAAAACAAATTAGATGCCAGTTAAAAATCTGTATCTTTCCCTTTCTTAAAATTCCACTCCATAGTCTCTGATCTGCAACTCTTGGCTCTGGTGATGTTTCCGATCTAGCACATGTAGTTGGTCCTCATTTACAGGTATATTTTGGAAGTCACCCTGAATGCTGAGTTAGCACAAAATCACTGCCTCCAGGGTAAATAAACACACACAATATAGACATACACACAGCCTGGAAGACTTTCTTGTCTCCATCTGACACAACAGAAATGAGTTTCTAAAGTGAGAAATGACCATCCCACAGCTAACAGCACACTAGCTAGGCTGGAACTGAGGCTCTTACACTACATGATGTTGCCCACCATCATCACGAGAACACTGTGACAGGTGACAGAGGCCACCCTGTGCTACCTCCATTAGGAGCATGCAAGTCAGCTCTCCTGCCCCGTGTGTGTCCACACATGGGCACAGCAAGCCCACACAAGTCTAGTGAGCAGGCAAACAGGCAGCTGCTGAATGACCAGGTCAATGGTGCTGGCCCCGCGGAGTACCAGCACCAAACGCCGAGTACTTCTGAAGGAAAACAGGTGGATACCCACACTCATCAGAGAAAATGACATCCATAAAATTCACATCGTCATAACAGGGAAGGTGTGCTGCCAAACCTAGGAAGAAAGTCACGTCTCTGGGTGTTGAGTTGTTTTTTGTTTGTTAACTACATGTAAGTAAAACATTCATTTTGAAAACTAAAGGGGAACCTTTCCATGGAATTGCTGGCACATTTTAAAAAATCAAGGGTAATAAACTTTTGCAAGGATGCCACCGCAGCTGACACCAGGCAATGAAAGGCCCAACACAAGTGCTTCCCTACAGAGGGCAAAGGACCGTGGAGCCTGGCAGTGGGGGCGCCAGCACAGGGTCAAAGATAGCCTCTACTACCAGGGTCATCTCAGGTACCCAAACACACTCTGCACACCTCAGAGCACCGCCCTCCGCCACCTGCCACCAGCCCCTTCCCCACAGCCCCTTTTCCTTTCTCACTACCCATGCTTTGGGACTCTGCTGGCATTCAGAAACAGTCCTTGATGCAACTGCTGTAGCACAGAGTCAGTCTTCTCTGGAAAAGACAGGCAGGAAGGGGCATGCTAATGTCAGTGACTACCTACACTCCTGTTTCAGAATGTGCCTTCACAAGTAACGCTGCATGGTGGAAATGTGTGAAAATAATAAAGGGTACTGACTGGGACCTAGTAAGAAAAACAACAAAACACCCTCTTCACCTTAAAATTAAATATAAAAATAATGTTAAGATTAGAACGTTTCCATACCGAAGATACAAACTCTTCTTGGTCATTCATACAGTCAGACAGGCTGTCAGAAAAGTTGCCATCGTTTATGTCTAGCATTGAAGGCAAAGAGTGAGCATGGCACAGAAAGTTGGAAGGCAGAGACACGGTGGAGCTGTCAGGGCTGGTGTGAGGACTCGGGGGGCTGGGGCCCCTGGCCATGGGGTCTATGCTATCCAACGTTTGTTCTCGAGGCGAGTGGTGACCTTTTTTGTACTGCTCAGTCTTTATCCCATCCTGTCTGTGCTGGCCATAGGTTGGCCTGGATAGCAGATTAGAAAACAAAATAAATGAAAAATTGTAGCAACTTTTCTTTCCGATAAATGCTGAAAGAAGCATGCTCATCTGAACGTTAAATAAGAGGCTAGGCAGCAAGATGCTGTCACTTAGAAACCAGCAGCTCACGTAAGGAAACAGTTCCTCATTCATCCAAGCTCTGCTCTCACGCCTGCACCATAGCAGAGACCAAACAAGTGCCACTGCGATTCAGAGTCTCCAGGCAGGCCAGCCCCAGGCCCAGAGAAGGCAGCCACATAATGTCACTGTGGGTGAGAGTGCCACTGAAGGCTTCTCACAGGAAAACACACAAGCCAGCCGGCTTCTCACTGACTGAATCTTTCTTACAGTAACAACCTAATATTAACTGACCAAAGATACAAGGGGCGCGTTTATAAAACGCCAAGTTTTACTTCTTAAGGAACAGGGGGATAGAGGTGGTGGGAGCAGCATACAAAGGCTCTGGGGAACAAGATGGCGTTTGCACCTATATGCAGGGTGCACAGAACAAAAGCTGTAATGAAATGAGGCCCAACCACCTGAGCTGCCTGTGCACTCTGCAGTGAAAACTAAACCCAGAGCCTGCGATGACTGCACTTCTCAAAGCAGAGGAAGTCACACTGCATCACACACACGTCAAAGAGACGGTTAAGAAACTTTACTTAAACTCTGCGTTCTTGAACTCAGCTGCTCTGCTGCGTGCTGGTTTAAAGATCCTGCCATCTTGTTTTTTACACACATGAGTAGCGCGCTCCAGCTGAGATTTGGTGTTCATCAGATCTTTCTGTAGTTGTTGATTTTCAGACACTAACTTATTTAATGCCTCAATATAATTCTCCTGGAGTTCTGTTAGTGAAATCTCTTTTGCCTAATAAAGAAAGAATACTAGAATCACTCGTATGCTTAAGGGTACTTACGATCAATCTGCAACAGTGTTGGTTGAAATAGTTCCTTTTCTAGTTTTTTAACTAATCTGTGGCTTTACTTAGAGAAAGTGAAGATTTGTCTTTAGTCATGTTAAGATGAACACAGAGAAAGCATCAGTCTGCCTAGAGGGAAGGGAGGAGGAAGTTGGGGGCAGGGTGGCTTCCTCCTGTACATGGACATTAGGGATGGAAACAGGGCAGAGGAAAGCTTCAAGGATCGGAGACAGAGGAGACCAAGAATGGAACAGCCATGGCTCTTAAAGGAGAAGGAGAGGTACCCTTTCCACCCCACCCCCACCCACACAGAATGCCTATGGAAGGAAATCAAAAGAACTGATTCAAACAAAGTAATTTAAACACAAGGCTCTAAAAAGAATTCTGCCCAGAGGGGTAGCTTTTAAATAAATACCCTCTCATCTTAAGCACTTTTTGCCACCTAGTTTTACATAAAGTTAGGCGACACAAAAGCAGGACTCAAGTATACAACAGGAATTACTACCGTGATCTGCTCTAACTTATATGATCACATATCTTACTTCTTGATAATGCAGGTCTACTTTTTTTTTCTCATGATAGATTTAATTAGCATTCTACAAGATTATGGTGATCTTTACAGTTTAACATTTCATTTTCTGTAAAGAAAAACTGTGAAAGCAAGCTGGTTAATAGTGATCTGATAAACATAATTTACCTGTCAAGTCACAAACGTGTAAATCATCTGTAAATTAGGAATTACAAGGCCTTTCAGTAGTTGCCCATGGCTGACAACATCTCAGAGAGAAGTATTTGCAGGACACAGGGCTGCACTGTCAACTGCTACCCATCTTTGTATTTGCAGGACACGGGGCTGCACTGCCCACTGCTACCCATCTTTAAAGTGGCCAATATTCATGAGAGCTGCTGCTTCATTAACATAATTAGATTAATTTGGAAAAGTAATTTCACCTTCCTAGGTGGTAGCATGCAAAAAGCATTTCCTAATAATCATGTTTTGATAATTTGTACAAGATATCCACACTGTATGTAACTCTGGAACCATAGAAAGCTAAAACTGACAAGATTTTTACCACTTTGATATCTAAAGAAAAAAATCATTAAACTAGCATTTCTCAACTGGTGGGCCATGATCCCCTTCGGCAAACCTCTAGCTCTAACAATATTTATATTATGATTCATAACAGTAGAAAAATTATAATTTTCTGGTTGGGGTCATTACAACATGAAGAACTGTGTTAAAGGGTCAAGGCATTAGGAAGGTTGAGAACCACTGCAAACTCTTAAATAATACTGTCTTTCTATGCATCTTTCAAGAATCTCCAAGACTTAGTACTACTCCAGGTACATGACTAGTAAAAGTAGCATGACAACTGGGTAGTAGGCATGTACTTAGCGGGGTAAAGAAGAGTCAGTGTTGCCACTAGGATTCAGGAGAAGTTCAGCTGCACACAACTCTGGGCAGAGTCTGGCTGTGACATGCCCAAAAACTCAGTTCTGAATATGAACACACTAGGGTCCCTAAATCTTTAACACTGCCAAATCATATATACTTAAAGGATCCTGCAGTGTCTATCAGAATAGTTCATGAATTACCTACCACTTACTCAGTATTGGCTTTATCAGGGCATACAAAGTCATTTGTTGTCCATACTCCCACTAAGTTACCTATCCACTCATCCATTTACCCACTCACCCACTAATCCACCCATTTATCATCCATCCATCCAGTCAGTAGACAGCCAGCAGGTTAGCCGACTGGTCTCCCAACTCTTTCCCCCATCCATCTTCCACCTCCTTTATAAAGCATTTAGTGATGGGACTGAAAAGATAGTTCAGGTGCTAAAGTACTTGCCATGCAAGAGGACCAGATCTATAACAGTCGTGTAAATGCTGGCTGAGTGGACATGATGGTCTGCCTATAATCCTTGGAAAGAAGAGATAGAATCTCTGGAGCAAGGTGGCTAGCCAGGCCAGCCAAGTCAGTGAGCTCAGGGTTCAAGTGAGAGATCCTGTCTCAGTACAAAAGACAGAGAATGATAGAGGAAGATGCCTAGTACCACCCTCTGGTTTCTAAGCATACACACACACATACATGCCCACACAAAAATAAAAACAAACATTTTTAAATGTTTGGTTATTGTTTCCTCTCTTATTTTTTCCCCATTCATATGGGTTTATGCTTTAAAAGAAAAAAATTTCATTATAGTATCTAAGGGATGTGGAGCGAGGGCAAAACTGAATAAATACTTCCATCTGCTGTATCAAATGACAATATATTTCACAATATAATCACAAATCAACCATTTTAGTAACCAGTTTATTTCACAATACCTGCTGTGCCCACTTCTGAACATTTACTCCTACAAGAGGGGTTCTTTGGGAATGCAAACTGCTAAGGACACTGAAGAACTTGACTATCAACATCACAGATGTAAATAAATACACAGGAGTACTTGGGGCTGTGTATATTTACAAGTTTGATGTCCATCACCCAACTGTCCTGAAGGCCATGTCAATGTGCATAGCAGAGTCTGTTCTTTAAACGCTTGCCAAAAGAGGCCATATGTTAGCTTTTTTAAAGCACTAGCAAGAGAAATTTTATTTTTAACATTTTTGGTTACTCGGGAAGTTGAACAGCTTTTCTTGCTCACTTGGATGTAAATTTCTATGAAATATCTACTCAGTCTGTGCCATTTTCCTACTGCATCTCTTTCCTTTACTCTTGTAGGACATTCTTACTTGTTAATACTCTCTGTTAGCCTGTGTCTGCTTATGGGTTACTTCTCCTCGTCTGTTCATTTGTTTTTCACCTCTTTTGCAGTGCTAGGGATATCAAACCCAGAGCCTCATGCTAGGGATATCAAACCCAGAGCCTCATGCTAGGAATATCAAACCAAGAGCCTCATGCTAGGGATATCAAACCCAGAGCCTCATGCTAGGGATATCAAACCAAGAGCCTCATGCTAGGGATATCAAACCAAGAGCCTCATGCTAGGCAATTGCTCTCCCTTCAAGCTACACTCCCAGCCCTTTTGTTGCTATTTTTATTCTGAGGCAGGGTCTTGCCCAGTTTGGCCTTGAACACTTGGTCCTCCTGCCTCAGCCTCTGGGATTACAAGCATGGGCCGCCATACTTGGCTTATGTTATTACTTTTTAATGGAGTCTTTCACATCTAGAAATTTTACATTTTACAATGTAAGATCCTTATGGCTCATGACACTTAGAGAACCTTGCACATCTAAAAGATTACAAAAATAGTCCCCCATTTTCCTAGTCGAAATTAAATGTTCTTCTAGCCCCTTGCATTTTCTTCCATCTCAGCCTCCATGACTGTGAAATCGAACTACTTAGGAGCAAATAGGAAGCCTTGTGTGACTATGTATCTTTTTGGAGGCAGAATACTCCCTGGAAGTTCAGAAAAAAAGAATTCAATCTTCAGACATTTGACCTACACCAAAAAAAAGATAGGTCAGAATAGATGTATCATTTTATAAATTATAAGACTTTTATAATAAAATGCTTAAAGAATATCACACTGCCTGGAAGCCAATCTTGTTCCCTCTGATTTTACAGTAGCTTATATGTATTTCTCATGATCTCTATGAAATTACTATAATGTCTTTAGAGTCAAGAATTTGATTATTCATCCTGTGTTCCATCTAGCACTTACTAAATATTCTAGAATATTTGACTAAATGAACTATACCTCATAGAAATGCAATAAAAACTGAATTATTTCAAAGATGGCATTATAAAGACACTATGAGCACAATCAGATAGTACTAAAACCAGCACCCAGCATCTGTTCCACACTTTCTGTTAGCACTATGCTGAACCTTTTGCAGACACTCTACTTTCTGAGAACACAGACTATAGCAATCTTATCACACACATAACAGGAAAACTATCCTACCGCTGCAGCAAAAACTCCTTTACAAGTAGGATGCTTACATTTCATGAGACTGTACCTACCACCAGTTTAATTTTAACTTCATCTAACATCAGTATTCACAAAGCTACTCCAATGGCTTCAGAAAAACAAAAGCTGACGTGTCTGTGTGTGTACCTCATGCAAGCCCAGCTCCAGCTTCATCACTGTTTCAGAAAGACGTCGATTCTCTAACTTGAGTGATTCCAGCTGACTCAGAATCTCCTGAAAAAGGAAAAATCAGGGTGAAAAAAACCCACATAAATCAAATGTATCTTATGAAGCTTTCCATGGGTAATTTTCTCTAGTCTAGTTATTCTAGTCTACATTCACATAGATGTGTACATACAGTGTATGTGTGTGATGCATGCACATGAGAGCACAGCTGTGCCTGCCATGCAGAAACCAGTGCCAGTGAGATCTCATAACCCGCCTGTCTCCGCCCACCCCACCTCACTCCTGCCCACCCCCACCAATGCTAGGGTAATAGGACAGAACATGCAGCCATGCCTGGCTTTATGTGGGTTCTGGGGATCTAAACTCAGGTCCTCATTCTTGCAGAGCAAGAGCTCTTACCCTTTGAGTCATTTCCCAGGCCCCACACATCCTTTTTAAAAGAAGGTGTCAAAGGTGTTAGCAGGTAAACCACATGCATGAAATTAAATGTCACTCTGAATGATGAGTGGGAGCTGGAGTAGCAGTTTCAGGTCACCTGCAGACCCTTAGCCACGCCCTGCTTCCTCCCCTGATCTCTCCACTTTCAACACCACATGGAACTGCACTTTCATAAAATGCTCATTTGTTTTCAGTCCTCACCCCGCTGATCTTTTCTGCTTGGCTATCTCCATGGAAAGTCTACTTTCGCACCTTCTTCCTCAGCAGAAACTACCTGCAGAACTTCCTCACCGCTCCCTTTTTTTTTTAAGGTTCCAGCCCACTATCTTTTATACCCAAATTGAGAAATACCCAAAGTCTGATTCAAGCCATCCTTGTGCATACTCTATTGCTTTCTCATTATAGCTGCTATGTCTGGGGAGTGGGGGTTCAAATGCCAACTTCATGCAAGGACTTGCAAAGCTAAATGGCTAACCTTGGATTCCAGGCTTCTATGAAGATGACTAGCCAGTTTTCCATATACAGTTCCAGGCTTTATCTGAAATCAAGTGTGCCACACCAGTGTTCCTCCGCTAACTTCCCTATCACGTGCATCTCTCACAGAAATGTATCATCCTCCTCCACACTTCAACTATTTTGTCTCCTTACAGAGCATTAGTTGGCTGCTCAGTAACAGCTTCTCTCACTGTCTACTCTGCTATCCTACTCCAATCAAACACAAAGCCGAGCTGACCGTAGCAGCCAAGAATCCCCCAGGACCCACCCACTTCCCTCTACAGCCCGTGCACACAGCTCAGGCCACAGCTGTAGTCAACTCCTCAGTCTCTCCACCATTACGAATTCTCCACTTGCAGCAGAGAACTTTACTCTAGAACGGGAACTCCTGGCTGTGCCCAGCATCTTGCCCACACAGCACTGGGTTGGCCATCTTCCTTGTCTGCATCCAGCAGACCCTCCCACCAACTCTCACAACACTGCTTGCTGACCAGCTCAAAACAGGTGTCTACTAAAAGTTCACTGACGTAACTATGGAAGTTACACCTTGAAGAAAATCATTCTTTGGAAGCAAACAAGCAGACGTCAGGTAGAGAGCTCTGGAGGACTCACCTGGTGTTCTACTGCCTTTGCTTCTGCTTTCTGCATCTCTGCCTTCAGCTGCTTTTCCATGTCTGAGGAGGAACACTTGGCAGAAGCAATAGTGATATCTCGCTGGTGTAACTCCCGGGTTAGCTGGGAGATTTCCATCTTCATTCCTTCCAGTGCGGAGCTATAGGTCTGATCAGCCTGCAGAATCTGTTCTTTCAACTACAGAGATGCACAAAAAAGACCCAAAGTTCAGAGAAAGTATTTAGAATTCAAGTATTGGTAGTACACAGTGTTAATTCTAGCACTCAGGAGGGCAGAGCCAGAAGCAGGAAGACCCCGACTGAGACCAGCCAGACTGAACTTCACAGGAAGACCCTGCCTCAAAAAAACAAGGTTTGGCTGGGCGGTGGTGGTGTACACCTTTAATCCCAGCACCTGGGAATCATAGACAGGAGGATCTCTATGAATTTGAGGCCAGCTTGGTCTACAGAGCAAGTTCTAAGACAGGCTCCAAAACTACAGAGAAACTCTGTCTCAAAAAAAAAACAAAAACAAAAAGAAAAGGACAAAAAAAAAAAGGTTTGGGGATGTAGCTCAACGGTATAGCACTTGCCTAGCATGCACAAGGCCCTAGAAGAAAAATATACTTGAGAGAAAGACAAATTGTTAATGGCTGCCAGGAGAAGGGGTGCCGTTTTCTTGGGTGGTGTAAATAACTCTCATCAGTGTTCATGTGAGCAACCCTAACTAAACTCAGTAGGCCTAAAAGAAAAACAAGTGAAAGTAGCAGAGATGGGCAAGTGAGCTCAGCAGTTGAAGGGGGATAGAAGAGGATAATGGGGGAATATGATAACAACACATAGTGTGTACATATGAAACTGACAAGTCGATGTTTAAAATGGACATAACAAAGAAAACATATGAAACATTAATAAGGTAATGTTTATCTTACCGCAAGAAAGCTTTACTAGATTAAATAGACAAAAAATGAGCAATTTACCAACTTGTATTATTATTCTGAAAGTCTGGTGGTTAAACTTAACATCATGTATTAAGTCTCAGTAGAGCCTGAGTTACTCAAACATGGAAAGTCAATGTCAAAGTCTATGCCCAATTTATGTAGAAGGCCCTAGGACTTTCATTCCTTTCACAGCTACAAATTAAAATTGTGATTTTCTGGTTCACAGAAAGAAATCAGGAAGAGCAAGAGCTTTTTGGAGTGGTCAGGCTACAACACTCCTGCAGCAGAAGCATGAGGGCCTTGTCTAGATAGATTCTCAGCACCCACATAAAATATGCCGGGGGGAGGCACGGGAGGAGGGCAGGGAAAGGGAGAAGGACCTGGAACTGACTTGTGAAGCAACCTTGTTTCTAATCTAAATTTAAACTGAAAAATAAACAAATAAATAAATAAATAGAAATGCCTCGGAAGTTTGTGTATGTCTGCAACTCTAGCATGGGGAGAGCAGACACAGGTCATCCTGGAATCACTGGCCAGCTAGGCTAGTCAACCAATGAGTACTGAGTTCAGCAAGAGCCCCTGGGAAATCCTGTCTCAAAGAAGGGGGTGAGGGTGTGGGAAAGAGATAGCAATACACAGATACCCAACATCTACTTCTAGGCTCCATATACACATATAAACACATACATGCACACGCATGCACACATACACACACAAACCAGGAATAGTCTTAAGAAGTAATGAAAAACATAAATTGGGCCAAGTATGGTGACACACACCTCTAATCTCAATATTTAGAATTCAAAGGCCAGAGGATCATGAGTTTGAGGCCAACTTGGGCTATGCAACAAGATGAAGTCTCTAAATAAAAGCAAGTAAATACATGCCAACAAAGAGGAGAACTAGAGCCCTTTATTAATTTATTTTTGGTATTTTGAGACAGTCCTGTTTAGCCCATGGTGGCCTTGATTTCCTGTGTCTTCACCTCCCAAGTGCTAGGATTACAGTGTACCAGCACACTGTAATGGTGACAGGTCCCTTTAATAAAAAGGCTCTGAATACTCAACAGCCAATGAGGGGACTAACTACATCATACCAAAGAGGAAATTCATATTTATTATTAGCCAGTGAGAAAATATTAAATGACAGGTCATATAATATCTCTTTGTAAGAAACAATATAATTGTTAAGATTTGTTTAGAAATCATGATATTTAAAATAAAGTTTTAGAGTTCAAAGTGAACAGATTTCAATTATATTCTTAATTTACTGAGTCTTTCACAATTTCATATACATGCACAATCTGCTTTAATAACCTCCCCACCATCCTTGTTTACCCCTTGCTTCTCCCACTGAACCTCTCCTTCCCAGACAGACTTCCACTAAGCGCACTCCAGGTGCCCATCCACATCAGTCTTCCTGTAGATTCCCTCACTGATTATTTCCCAACTCAACCCTCGGTTCATAAATACATGCAACTTTGTGACCCCAGGCACACGGGTTTCACCTTTTTAATCTCCGTCCTGTACTCATTGTTATGCCCTTCCATTCTCTTCAGTTCTTCATATTTTTCCATTAGCTCTTGGCTCAGCTGTTTACATGTTGCGCTCACAGATTCCAAACTGTATGGCAGAAATACAACCACATATAAATAAATACAATTCCTGAAATCCACAAGATGGGTTATCTAAATGTACCCTCTTGATGCCCAACATACATCCTCCAAATAACTTAAACTTCAAGCCTCACGTTAAAAGTCTCTTCCAATTCCCCATCACCAGACGCAGTACATCCATCTCAAACCTTAAGCTTTAACTTCAATGTTTACCTCTACTCCTTCCCCTTGCCTTAAACTTAACTGGTTACAGAACTATAAAGATACCAGCAACTTTACTAACAGTTTTACTATTGCTATATGATTTTTCTCTAACTGTATCAGAGAGGGAAAGCCAATGGGAACAAACACCTCAGCAGCACATATGCCAGGCCAGACTATACAAAAACCTCAAGAACAACCTTTAAAGAGTCCTGACTCATTATTCCCATCAAGAGCCAATCCTTCTGGGACATAAGAGCCACAAAGGCAGCATGTCTTGCATCATACTGCTCTTCTCTGACATGATCCTGCTAAGCTTTGCTGCCTGCCATGGCCATTTGTCCCTCCTGCCTCCTTGTGTCAACACACATCATCCCTTCACCACAAAGCACCTTCTTCACCTACCCCTTGGTGTCCAATACCTCCCCATGAACTAGGTCAGCATCTACCTGATTATAGCCACCCAATCCTCATTCCCCGGATCACCTTATAAAATGCAAGTTCACTATTTACAACTTGAAGGTAAATAAATGTTTCTAGAATTTTCCTCAAGTCCTTTAACATGAATATTTTATCTCTGAAACTAAAATTTCTACGATTAAAATATTTCCCTTCTTACTCCTGCCAAGCTTAGCCATAGCCCTTAGCTCTCTAGCACATAGACTATTCCACAAATGCTTAGTACTATACTGTTTCACAAACATAGCCAACTTATTCAAAAATATCATCTTTGTAGCACAATAGCACAAAAACAAACTCTCCTTTCCTCTTTTAGGTGCTATTTATACAACTAAACACAAATTGTTTAAAACAGTTCTTTTGTCCACTTGATTTTTCAAAAAACATTTAAGCCATTATTACTAAAAACTGTTATTTATTAACTCTAATTTTATTTCCAGAAATTCTAGAATATTCATTTATTTAGTACTTAGTATATGAACACAATGTGCTAAACACTAAAGGTAACAGAGAGTAAGCTCAGAGACCCCATTGTCCTATCCCATGGGAATGGCAGAGTCTGAAGGGGCAAAGGTGATTAATGCAGTGCTGGAGGTCAAACTCCAGAGGGATGAGTTCTGAACCTGACAAGAGAACAGTGATGATTATCAGAAAGACAATGGGGGAGGGGGGGCTGTGACAAAAACATACGATTTTATTCAATATCAAAAGACTAATAATAAGCTTTATTTAGCTCAATGTGATAGGTGGCATACACCTTTAACTCTAGCACTCAGGAGGCAGAGGCAGGTGGATTTCTGAGTTCTAGGCCAGCATGGTCTACAGAGCGAGTTTCAGGACAACCAGGGATACACAGAGAAACGTGTCTTGAAAAACCAAATAATAATAATAATAATAAGTAGCAATAAGAGTAAGCTTTATTTGACTCAGTCTAAAGCATATGCATACACCTCAATAGTGCTCATGAGTGTCTCCCATACTCCAAAAGGGGTGTAAAGCAGAGGGTTGCACAAACAAAGCACACCCAATTCTAGTGCTTTCCGGCAACAGCAAAGTAAAAACAAAAGGATGTAATATATAAAGACAATCTAGAAAGTGTAAAGTGGCATTTCTTCTCTCTGTTTGCCTAATGGCTAATAATGTATATAAATATTTTATCTACCTTTTTTTGCACATACATTAGTATAAAAGCAATTGTAACAAATGAATTTAAAACAAAATATCAACCTCTTCCCAGTAAAAAAACATTCACAAATATGACGAACTAAATGTTTGTAACTATGGCAAAAATAAGCATCACCTGCTATACTATGCCATGCTATGCTATGCTATACTGTGCTACACAGAAAAATACCACCGTATACTATGCCATTAGCCAGCATTCAATTCACTGCCAAGAAAATCTAAATCATACCATATAGCAGAGGAAGAAGAAATAACATGTGCCCACTATGTCCTCTCCAAGAACAGTTTCAGTGAAGCAGCAGAAAGGAAAGCTGAGCAAAAGAGGGCGGGGCCTAAAAAGGTAAAGGGTGAAGAGGGGGCAGTGAGAATGCACAAATCTTGACGAATTTTATTTTGAAGAGCAAAGAAAGAGGAGATTTTTTTTTGATGCAGATAAAAGGTTTAAAGGGGGTTTAACTTTTCAGAATGGAAGAGATCACAGACTGCTTTCTGTCCATACAAATCATTCTGAAGAAAGAGCCCAAGAGAGGAAACATGGCAGAAGTCAGGCTCAGATATCTCAGCGGATCAGGGGCCCGGATGCAGGCAGACTAGCAGAAAGATGGGAAGTTCTCTTCTGTGTTTTCAGTGAATTAGGAAGTGAGCCATTGTGAATGCTAGAGGAAAAAAACCAACTTTATTTCCCACTATTGTATTATTTTACAGCGTCAACATGAAGATCAAAGTTCATCCTAACTTGAAATTTTAAGCGTGTATCTAATTATCTACCTGCCTTCAAGACGAGTCACCTCTGCCTGCAGTAGTTCCTCACTGGTGTGGCTCAAGTCCAGCTGCGACAGCACGTTGTCGAAGACTCCCTGCCCCGGAGAGGGGCACTTCCTCTCCACCCGACAGTCCTCCAGCGGCCTGAGGAGGACAGAGGAAGGGAACAGGTCTCTTATTCTGACAACAAGAACAATGCAAGGCCGGCCTTCTGTTCCAACTGTTCTTGTAATTGAGCTCCTTCGAACTCATTAGTTTGCAGACTGCTTTGTAGAAAATAAAAGAAAAATATACCAGGAGAACAATCCAGGGTCTACAGCAATTTCATCTTTACTAGGATTTGGCATATTTTTCAAGGGGAAAAGCCACATCAGACAGTAAAACCACATGTTGAAACTTGATTCCTAACTAAAAAATTACAAGACAGTCAGGCAAGACTGTCCAACTTAAAAGGAAGCTCATTCTCTCAATTATTTTTTACTATAAACCTTCCCTAGCAATAACAGATACATAAAAATAACCCCAGGTCTGGGATGTATAGCTTAGCTGGTAGAGTACTCCCATGGCATGCATGAAACCCTGAGACTGGGTGTGGTCATACACACTGGTAACCCCAGCACTTGAGAAGTAAAAGGAGGAGGGTCAGGAGTAATTTTAAAGGTAGCCTGGGATATGTGAGACACCATTTCAAGATAAAACAATAATAGTATAATAAAATCAGTTCTCAAAAGGCTGTTACTGATGCCAAGCAGCTTCTCCTCACCATGCCTTAGTCTCCTACGAAATGGAGGTTCACTGGACTTAGCAAGGAGAGAATAAAGAATCCCCAATTTTATGATCCTCCAGAATCTTAGAGCCTCAAATGAAAAGGAGGTAAAACCATCCATGCAAATTTTAAGACAATGAGAATGAATCTAACTCATAAATTAAAACTAAGTAAGACAACAACACAAAACTGTAAGTATTCAATATTAAAATTGGCATTTGATGCCAAACCTTCAAATGCACCAGCAGAGTAATATTTAAGATTCAAACAGACCTCACACTGTCTACTGAGTGCTGAGTGTCAGGAGCCTTTAATTTTGTTTGCAGTTTCTCCTTCTGCATTTTTGTCTCAAGGATGAAGTTTTCTTGAGATTGAAGACTTGCCTTCAACTCTTTCTGTTCTTCCTGCAGAGCCTGCAAAACACTCAAGAAAAAAGTCAGATATTATTATGGCTTTCCTTCAGCTTTCTCTTTTTCCTGCAGAGCCTGCAAAATACTCCAGGAAAAAAAAAAAGTCAGATAACATTACAGCGTTTCTATTTCATGAGAAAAGCAACTAGGGAGGCTGACTGTAAGTTTTATGACAAGGACAGTATTAATACAGCTATCAGCAGCTAAGCCACCAGCCTCAGCTCAAAGAGGAAGCTGGGAATTCTGAGACATAGCTGTAGGTCAAATCTTAAGACACCCATACTCATGTTTCTTTAACCTAGGCATTCTAACACACACCTCTAATAACTTTTCAGACTCCCTCAGTTTCTCCTCCTTTTGCCGCTGCTCCTGCAAGATAGTCATATTGGTCCCCATCAGGTCATTGACTCTCATGTTAAGTCGCTCTATCTCCAGCTCGTTGGCACAGATGGTGTCCTTAGCCCGCTCGAGCTTACTGCTTAGGTGCTGGATTTCTGACTGGCTGGACAGTTCCACAGACTCTAACTTCTGTTTCCGGTTTGCAAGCTGAGCCTAGAAAGAAATAGGTTATTAATAGGAAAAAGAAGTGATAAAAGAATAATCAATAATTGTATTCACTAAGGAAAAGGTACTCATAGGAAGGACTGGTTCGATCAGCAGTTTTTGGACACTTCTGAGCTGACAGATTTAACCGAATATAGCACATGTGAAATTAGTTCCTTTCAGTGGCATTACTTATCAAGTCTACTCAAATCAAGCCACTTCGGCAATTGTGCCACGGCCTGTGGAGGTATACAGGCCTGTGGTGTACAGTGCCTAACCTTATGGCTCTGAATGCCAACTGGGGTATTTTGGCTTCCCACATTCTGGTTTTCTCAAGTTTCAATTCAGTAACCAGACTGGTTTTTCATCTGTACATTCAAAATGAACATAAATCATTTGTAAAGGTAGACTTCTTTTATTTTAAATATCTCTGAAGAAAAAGATACAATTTTATATCAGAAATTCAAATGGAACTATCTCTGTGGAATCTATCTGCTATGGATTTAAAGGTTCTACTGTATGTAGTATAGGACAAAACTTATATACTTTATATTATGGTGACACAAAGTGACTGCTGGGGGTGCGGGGGGAGGCAAAGACACAGATAAACAATGTTTGTATAAATGAGAGCTCAAGGCTTTAGGGTAAAAGCAACTGTTTTGTCTTTTGACCAAATCCCTAGAAGGGTGTCTGACAGAAGATTCAACCCAGCTTGACTGCTAACACTGTACATGCAAGTGTCTCCACCCTTTGAAAAACACTCTAACCTTCTCAAGAGGAAATCTTACACAGAACCCTGGGCAAAATAAGTAAACGCATAGATTGCTTGAGGGTAGGAAGGAAACACTGTGATTGCTATGTAATACTGTGACCACTATGTAACACTGTGATTGCTATGTAACACTGTGATTGCTATGTAACACTGTGATTGCTATGTAACACTGTGATTGCTATGCAACACTGTGACCACTATGTAACACTGAGATCTGAAAACAAATTCAGTGCTGGAGCTTTGGCTGTGTTAAGCAACAGTGTAACCAAATTTGTTGCTTTAAAATTAGCTTCTCAGTTTTGAAAATCAACAGTCTTCTTTTACTGATCTATTTCACTCAGGCAAAAAGACAGTGTTTTCATGAACTAGAAATGATACCTCAAGCTGTACTGTGCTCTATAGCAGTAAAGCCACATGTGGAGACTGAGCACTGAGCTGTGGCTATTCTGATTTGAAAAATGCTCTAACCATAAAGTACACAGGGGGTACCAATGACTTAGTTTAAAAAAAGAATGTAAATTTTGAGCTGATAATATTTAACATACTGGGTTAAATAAAATATATTAATTTCTTTTTACCTTTTTATTCTAACTACAAAAAATTCTAAAATTGTGCAATTCACATTATATTCCTACAGTGGCACTAACCTCAAAAATACCTCTCCCAATATTAAGCAAATCAGTCAGAAAATCAAAGAAACAACTCCTAAAATTATCACTACTTCTCCTAAACATCTGGCTTTAGAAACATTTAAAGGTAAATACATTAGTAATTTTTTCGTGTACAAACTACTTCAAGAAACCAGAAAGTCCCCTTATTCACTAAGCATTCATCAGTGTTTTACTGAATGAAGGGTGGCATTATCACAACCATACAAATGACAGTGAAAGTAAGGAAACCATTAAGAAGGCAATTTACATTAGAAAGACAGAAAGCACCTGAGGCAAAGTGCCCTGGGCAGTAGACACAGCAGGGTCAGAGGTATACTCTGAGCTCAGAGCTTAGCAGGCTCTTTCTTGGCTGCTCACTGGGATGCTATCTATGGCCTGCATGGACACATCTGGAGGTGACCCTGATGGGGAGACAGGTCTGAAGCTGGTGCTGCAATGACTAGGCCTTTATACTAGGGTTCCCTGGAATATCAAAGCCCTTGCTGCTTCCAACCATCTTGTTCTTAAGCATTGGTTTCCTTGAAGCTCCAAAACTACATTAAAAAAAAAAGATATTCTTATTTTTCTAAAACAGCTTGAAGTATATAATTTTAATAGCTGAGTAGAAGAATTCAAGCAAATACATGACTCAAAAAACATGAAGTTATTTTTGAATCTCATTTTTAGATGTTAAAAATACTTAAGAATTTTTCCTCATAAGATTTGCCCAATCTTCCAGATTTTCTGCTTTCCCACATATCACCTAAATGCAATAAGTCAAGCTCAACTGGATTTTGCTTCAAACAGCCAACTTGAAAGGGTGGTTTTTAGACACCTAGAGAAAGTTGCACAGGCTGAATATGAATTATATTGCTATTGCTATTATTTACCCTATTAATGTCATCCTGTGATGTTATAAGGACTTTAAGTCCTTACCTGTTCTCAAATGAGATGATCTCATTTGATTTACAACTTTTTGGGGGGTTTGTTTGTTTGTTTGTTTTTCAAGACAGGGTTTTTCTGTGTACTCCTAGCTATCCTGGAACTCACTCTGTAGGCCAGGCTGGCCCACTCAAACTCACATAGATCCCCTTGCATCTGCCTTCCAGTGCTAGGACTAAAAGTTTATGCCACCACGCCAGGCCTGCTTTGTAACATTTTAATATCCAAAAATAAAGAGTAAAAGTATACCCAGTTTTGCAGGGTGATGGTGGCACATGTCTTTAATCCCAGCATTAGAGAAGCAGAGGCAGGCATATCTCTGTGAGCTCAAGGCCAGCCTGGTCTACAGAGTGAGTTCCAAGACAAACTCCAAAGCTACACAGAGAAAACCTGTCTTGAAAAAAAAAATGTATACAGTTTCATCTCCAGGATGAAAAGAATCAGGCTAGAAAGGTGGTTCATTGGATAAGAGCATGGGCTCTTCTTCCAGAGGACATTGGTTCAGTTCCCAGCACCCACATTGTAGCTCACAATGATCTGTGTTATGATAGAGCACATGGGGGCCTTTGGTGGATTTCATAGCAGGCAAGGGTGACCAGGCAGGTTACAAACATGCCAGGCAGACAGAGCTTAAGTGAGAAGTTTTATCAGAAAGGGGAGGGAAGTGGAAAGGAAAGAGAAAAGAGACACAGAGACAGAGAGAGGACAGAGAGAAGAGGGAGACAGGAATAGTCCTATCTGTCCCAGGGGAACAGCAGGAAAGAGACAGAGAAAGCATAAGTAGAAAGGGGTCTTTCTTTTAAAGGAGTCCTTTGCAACTGCATGCAGACTAGTAGTCATAGAACTCTGGGATGACCAGGGTACTGCCTGAGTGCATTCTGCCAGGTGACAGGGCCAGGCCAACATAATGCCTGAGTCCTTACAATCTGTAACTCCAGTACCAAGGAATGCAATGCCCTGCTCTGGCTCTGTGGTGCTGCATAACAGTGGTGCACATACATTAAGACAAAATACCCATACGCATAAATAAAAGGAAATAATGCCATGTCCCTCTCTAAAACAAAGAGGGAAAAGTTCCAAAGAACAGCTGCACAAAAATGTATACATGTTGTTAACACAAATGAACTACACACAGAGAGCCAGTTTAGATGGCATGGAGTTTAGCTCACTGATGCAGTGCTTGCCTAGCATGAGTGAGGCCACGGGTTCAATACCACACTGAAAAGAAAATTAGGTGCAATTTCTCTAATACATTTCTAATGCCCATTCATACACAAGATTGGCAAGATGATGACAACTATTAACACTAGGTAATGGGCACACAGAGGTTTAATTAAATGTTTAATAAAGCTAATCATACAGCATTGATTGATGCAAACTGAGACACAGGAAGCTTTAATTCTTACTTAGTTTGCCAAAGGCAAAAGAGAAATACATCTGTAAGCAATACTTTTTAACTAACCAGATAACTTAATTTAATCAAAACTATGAGAAGAATTATTAAAACATCCTTAGTGGGCACAACAGATGTCAGCTCTTTTAAAGGTATCTTATTCTAGCTCTAGTCAACTAAATGGTAAATAAAAACTCCATTTTTACTAACAATGAAGTTTGAATTATATAGAATTAATCACAATAGTAACTTGACAGCAATGGCTTAAAGACTATGTAACAAATAAACAACATGATTAAAATGAGGACTGGAAAAAATAAAAATGCAATTTGTTCTTTCCCAGTCTAATGGCTGTAATTAGAATACAGCAGTGTATCATAGCTTTTAAGAACACAGAGATTTCTCAAACATGTTACACCCTCCCCCATATCACACTCCCTCCCCCAATGAGGACTTCATTGTCCCACTTTGGCTGTTAGCTTATTGAAGATGACAATATAGTCCTTATTCTGTGGGATGTATGGCTGTCTTGCAAGTCTCAGAGGAGTAACTTAGAGCAAAACCATTCACAATAGTTTATCAAACAACTGGTATTCAGGGGGACAAAGAAGATAAAGGCTTAAAAGGAAAAAAAATCCCTCTAGTTCTCTGAACTTACCCAGTCTGTCCTGACATTCTAGAAACTGAGATAATTACTAGTGTAGACAGATTGTCATCCTACAAATAACATACCTAACACCAATGAGCATCCCACAGATAATGGGGGTGGCTACATGATGGGGGAAGTCCTTCTGTGTATATATTGTCCTATTGGTTGATAAATAAAGCACTGTTGGCCAATAGGGAAGCAAGATAGGCAGAACTAGGAATCGAGGAGGATTCTGGGAAATGTAGTCAAGAGGGGGGATTCACCATGTGATCCGGGGAGGAGAGGATGCAAGTCTGGCATTCTCAGTAAAATAAAACCTTATAAAAACATATTAGTAATTATGGGTTAATAATTAAGTCAGAGCTAGCCATTAAAAAACCATAACAAATAGTCAACACCTTCATAATTAATATAGTGTCCTGCATGTTCATTTGGGACTGATGCAGCTCAGGGACTAGGCTGGCGGGAAGAATACACATTACATATGGTGCCCAATGAGCAGCATAAGAACTTCCACTTGCAATCTCACAAAAGCTAAAAAGGGATTTTAGAAACAAAAAAAAACAAAGAAAAGCACGGCTTCTCAGTAGCAGCATTTTCTCGGGTGGGCTCTGTTTCGCTAGAGACAAGCAGAGACTTACATAGCCAGTGCTAGCAGTAAACTTACGCCCACCATGTTGGAAAGCCATTGGCTAAAACAGTCACTTCATTAATTTTAGCAATGTTGCTTAGCAGATAACAGGTAGCCAGAAAAATATAAAAATTTACAGTAAAGTCAGATGCAGATGAAGTAAAACCTCTAAAAGGTTTATAGTGTGTTTAAAAATATACGTAAGCTTGGAAGAGAAAAAGAAATGGGATAATGGCTGGTGTGGTGGCACAAGTCTTTAACCCCAGCACTCCAGAGGCAGAGGCAGGCAGATTTCCACAGAGAAACTCTGCCTCAGATAAATAAATAAACAAATAAATAAATAAATAAATGTAAGAGAAATGGAGTAATAAAAAGCCACACAAAGATGAAAAGTACAAAGAGAGTCTGGATACTGTATGCTGTTGTGTTGTCCTTAATCACTTGACTGCTAAGAAAATAGCAACAACTGCTAAAAGAAATGCTACTGAATTAATCCAACTTATATATTCTAAAAATGCTTTGACTTCTAAATTTAATTTTCTTGGGAAAAGGGTTTTTGCTTGTATTTCCACAGAAAATGTAAAGCAATGGATTCCTTCCATACTCGTGTGGTTTGATGAAGCAAGATGCCCTGAAACAGTGTCCCAGGTGATACAACATCTAAAGTAGCTAAGATGATGCCTTACAGACTACAAAAAACAAGGACTTAGCCAGGTTTCTGTGTTTTGTCATGATCCCCATAGTATGGACAGCGCCCCCAACCTGCAGGAAGCAGTTTGGAATGAACAATGACCAAATTCCCAAATATTGCTTATAAAATTTTGTTTTCATTTAAAAGAGGTTGCTTATAAATGGTAATGATCACAGTCGATATCTTTCTAAGGGGAAAAAAGGGAATACAATACAGAAATGAATACTTTGTACTGATTGGTATGGATTTTCATTTATTGATACAAATTTCAGATCAATTTTGTGATATATATATTTCTCTTCTTATTTAGGTATTGTGTTTGTATAAATCATTTTAAAATGTAGTGTATAATTAAATACAGATTATAGATAGTTACCTATAATAGTCAGAACTTATAGTTAGGTTAGTTAGGTTTTCTAGATATACAGAGATTTATTTGAGATAGATAGATATTCTTCAAACCTTTCAAAGACCTACAGAATATATGGCATTTAAATGGTGTAGGGTTTTTCATGATAGTGAGACACTACTACTCCTGGCACACCAATTACATCTGAGAGGAAGATTGGCGTCGAAAAAACTCGTTATGAAGTTTGCTTTCAACTTGGCAAGATTAGCCATTTGGACAAGAAACTGCTCTTGCATGGACTGTTGACTGTTGCTGTATAAACTGGACATGCAGGACCCACAGGAAAGTAAACGCTAAACTTATAAAACAAGATGGACAGTCCTAAAGGATTCCTGCTTCATGGGAGAGTCTGCCGGCCATTCTGCGGACACAGAAAAATTACTGACAAACTGCCAATGCAGATGGACAGTTTAAAATTTCCTACTTTGCAGCTGGGCGTTGGTGGTGCACACCTTTAATCCTAGCACTCGGGAGGCAGAGGCAGACAGATCTTTGTGAGTTTAAGGCCAGCCTTGTCTACAGAGCGAGTTCCAGGACAGCCTCCAAAACAGAAACGGTCTCAGGAAAAAAAACAACAACAAAAAAATTCCTATTCTGCTGAGAAGTCTGCCAGACACAATGTGGCCTATGGGCTGAAGATGAATGCCCCAACGTTACAGAGGAACTTCAGGTAACTGTCCAGGTAGCTAGATGTCTCTGTTAACTTTAGTGTTTATATATTATCCTTCTGTGGTCTTTGATGGAGTTAAAGACAGATAGTTATAGTTTTCCTTAGTTATGATAAACAATAAGCTATATATAAGACTTTAGACTCACACAGATAGGATAGATGATAAAATATATTCCTTAAATATTACTAAATATTAATAGACTAAATATTGTAACTATAGTTCTTACTTGATAACTGTTCTTTTATATGTAAATTGACTATGTTAAAGTTAAAACCTTTCTCTTTACTTAGAAAAGAGGAGATGATGGGGAAAGTCCTTCTGTGTATATGTTGTCCTATTGGTTGATAAATAAAGCACTGTTGGCCAAGAAGCAAGATAGGTGGGACTAGGAATTGAGGGGGATTCTGGGAAATGTAGACAATAGTGGGGAGTTGCCATGTGATCCGGGGAGGAGAGGACGCAAGTCTGGCATTCTCGGTAAGATAAGACCTTATAAAAATATATATTAGCAATTATAAGTCAGAGCTAGCCATTAAAAAAACCATAGCAAACGGCCAACAGCTTCATAATTAATATAGTGTCCTGTGTGTTCATTTGGGACTGATGCGGCTCAGGGGCCAGGCTTGAGGGAAGAATACACGTTATAGCTATACATACTCACACCCTCTCTCTGCTCATTGTTCTTTGTTTTCTTGACATTAAAGGAAAAAGGCAAAGGAGCTGGCTATGACCCACGATGACATATCCCAAATTCAGTGTCTATTTAGTTTTTGCTAAAGTCATTAGCTTTTATAAGTTTCTACAACTATACTAAAAAAAAACATTTCTGTAGCCACAAGGACATCATTTTCACTAGGGTGCAAGCCAGTGTAGTGAGATTCTTCCCAAACAGTCAGACTAACCTGGCTGAGGCACCTTAGCCAAAGTGCTCAAGCTGTCATGGAGACAAACAGCCAGAAAAACCAATGACACAAGCAGAAAGAAACGGACAGACAGAGGGCAGAGGTGTGGGGTGGGGTGGAGACCAAGATTAGGAGTGAAGACAGTGTGGCAGAAAGGGGACAGGGGACAGGAGGAACCTGAGAGCTTTCGATGCTGATGAGGCTGAGCCACAGTAGAGCAAGATGGGCTTCCCACACAAAGGTTAGCAGAGAGAATCTAAGAAAGGCAATGGCGACCATCAGAAGGTACATGGCAGTAGGTCAAATTCAGTCAGAACCCATCTGCTAGACAGAGTAAGCCTACCTGGATTATCTCTGACTGTTCGGCTAGAGCCTTCCTCTGTGCTTCCAAAGAAGATACCTGTTGCTGATAAATCAAACGCTGCTTCTCCCAGTCCAGAGACTTCTGTCGGAATTCCTGAGGAGGCAATTGAGGTACTTAACATCTAAGAGCTTCCAGGGCTGTGGCCACTTCTCACTTTGCTTTCCCAGCCCCCCCACTCCCTGGGCACAGCTGCACCACCCTTCTCCCCACTTAGCTGACTGAGCTGCAGAGGAATACTGAATTCTGCTCACTTTGGCCTCTGGATGTCTGCCTTTCTAAACTTAACACCCTAATGGTGAAGAGGTAGAAAAAGACCCATGGCCCTGGGCTCATGAACATCTTCACAGATCTGCTACCACCTATGGGCTGTTACCATTTTGTATAATTTCTCATGCTAAAATATTTCCCTTGCCATCTAAATTCCTAACATCCAGACCCAGAATTGAAGAGATTCAGATTTCCAAGTCAGTAACTCAGTAGCCCAATTCTCACTTCATATTCTGCTAAAACAGTATTTTTGATAGTCAAAATTTTATTATTTCACAGAAGAATTGCAAAAGCTTGAATAACATGGAAAATATGCACCATATCTTAACAGGCATTTATAATCCAGAGCCAAATAGTTCAAAAGTCATGGTTAATCAACAGCAATTTCAAATTCTACATCATGAAAATGAGCCCGGCATTTCCGAAAATAAGGCATATCGAAGGGAAAGATTCTCAATCTTCCCATCTTTGTCCTCCAGGAATCTTCAGCTTTAGATTGTTCCTTACATTGTTAGAGGTCAGCTTTCTGATATTCCATTTACTCAGCCTGTCTGTATGGCATTCTAGTGTGCCAGCAAAGATCTAGGGAGGTATTTAGTCAGATAAACCAAAACCTGGCCCCACTCAACTGGAGGGTGACAGACATGGCATGCACACTAAATGAATGAATAAATAAGAATATTCAATAAAATCAAACAGGATATAAACTTTTGAAGGGATTCAAAGAGGACTCAAACAACCATTTGAATGAAATAAGAAAGTCAATACAAGATATGAAAGAGAAATTCAACAGAGACAGAAATACTGAAAAAGTAAATAAAAATCTCATTGAATCAAACAAAAACTCAATGGAAAGCTTCTCCAATAAATCAAACTGAAAACAGAGTTTCAGGGCCTGAAGACAAAGTAGATGAATTAGAACATTCAGACAATGACAAAGATAATAAGAAAGTCAGGGCTGGAGAGATGGCTCAGTGGTTAAGAGCACTGGCTCCTCTTGCAGAGGACCCGAATTCAATTCCCAGCACCCACATGGCAGCTCACAACTGTCTGTTCCAAACATCTAACACCTTTACACAGACATGAATGCAGACAAAATACAATGCACATAAAATAAAATTAAATCTTAAAAAAAAGGTAATACAGTATGAAGAGAATGTACACGACCACAGGACACCATTACAAGACCAAATATAGTGGCTAGAAAGACGGCTCAGAATGTAAACAGTGCTTGCCATACAAGCATACAGGCCAGCACTCACTAGAAAATGCTGGGCATGACAGCACACGTTTGAAATTCTAGAGCTAAGGAGGTATTAACAGAAGGATCCCCAGGCTTACTGGCCAGCCAATCTAGCTGAATCAGTGAGTACCTTACTCTGCCTCTAAAAGTAAGGTAGAGAGTAACAGACACTGACCACTAGCCTCCACATGCTCACACACATGTGCACACACACATACACAAAGATCAAATCTACAATTCATTGGCATAGAAGAGTGACATGTTTGACAGGCGGTGGTGGTGCACACCTTTAATCCCAGCACTCAGGAGGCAGAGGCAGGTGGATCTCTGTGAGTTCGAGGCCAGGCTGGACCGACAGCCTCCAAAACAATACAGAGAAACCCTGTCTCATAAAAACAAAAAACAAAAACAAAAAAAAAAAAAAAAAGAAGAAGAAGAGTGACATGTTCAAGATAAAGGTACAGGGCCATCAAGACACAATAAACATTTAGAATGTCAAGACCAAAAAGAATATTTCCACACTGTCATATTATTGTTAAAACACTAAACATACAAAACAAAGAATATCAAAGATTCAAGAAAGAGGTACAAATTCATATACAAAGGTAAAGCTATCAGAATAAAAGACTTCTCAACAAAAACTCTAAAAGCCAAGAAGGCAGGAACAATATAATTCAAGCTCTGAAAGACAATACTGCCAACCCAGATTATTAGAATTACACAACTACTTGTGCTAGTTAGTTTTTGTTATTTTGACACAAACTAGACATATGTGGGAAGAGGGAATCTCAATTGAGGAATTGCCTCCATCAGATTGGCCTGTGGGCATGTCTGCAGGACACTCTTGATTAGTAACTGCTGTGGGAGCTGCCATGGGCAGATGGGTCTGGGCTGTGTAAGAGAGGCACTTGATCAAGTCAGAAAAGCAAACCAAAGACAGCATTCCTCCATTGTCTCTGCTTCAATTCCTGCCTGCAGCTTCTGCTTTGAGCTCCTGCCTTGGCTTCCCTTATTGACAGACTATAAACTGCAAGCTGAAATAAACCCTTTTCTCCCCAGGTTGGTTTTGGACATAGTGTTTTACCACAGCAACAGAATGCTACTAATACACCATTCTTCAGAACTGAATGAGAAAGAAAAATTTTCATTCATAGCACAAGCTAAAGTGACATGATCTATATACCGAAGAGAAAGATAAACATCCATGATGTAACAGGAAAGAACAAACTTTAGGGAACAAATGAGGATTAGGACAATAACAGACACTACAAAACAACCAAATGAAAAAAATGAACGGTATCTTTCACTAATGTCTCTGAATTGTAATAGTTTCAATTCTCCAACCAAAAGAGACAGACGAGAGCAAGGGAGGGGGCTCAGTGGGTAAGAGTGCTTGCTGAGAAAGCAAGAGTCCCTGAGTTCAAATCCCCAGTACCAACATAAAAAGTTGAGCATGGCCATGTGTGCCAGAGTTTGGGGGAGAAGACAGTAGAATCCTAGGAGCTTGCTTAGCCAGCCACGCTAGCCAAAATGGCAAGCTTCAGGTTTCTGAGAGACCTTATCTCAAAATGTAAACTAGAAATCGACAGAGGAAGACACACGATTTCTCCCTCTGGCCTCTGCACGCACTCACATGGGCAAACAAAGACAAGTGTATATACAACTCTCTCTCTCTCTCTCTCTTTTTCTCTCTCTCTGTCTCTCTGTCTCTCTCTCTGTCTCTCTGTCTCTGTCTCTGTCTCTCTGTCTGTCTCTCTCTCTCTCCCCCTCTCCCTCTCCCTCTCTCTCTCTCCAAAGCTACACAGAGAAACCCTGTCTTGAAAAACCAAAATAAATAGGATTCATATATTTGTTACTTGCAAGAAACACAAACCTTACTGGCAAACACAAATATTGCCTTACAGGGAAAGGATAGATCATAATAAGAATACAAGGATGAGTCAATATATATAAACACAATGCAACACATTAAAAGACTCAAGGACAGAAATCATATGATCTTCTTAATTAATACAGAAAAGACTTGACGGACTGGAGAGATGGCTCAGCGGTTAAGAGCATTGACTGCTCTTCCAGAGGTCCTGAGTTCAATTCCCAGAAACCACATGGTGACTCACAGCCACCTTGAAATGAGATCTGGTGCCCTCTGCTGGCATGCAGCCCTCTGCTGGCAAGTATCCAGAAGATTGTATACATAATTAAAAAAAAAAAGATAAAAGAAAAAAAAAGACTTGAAATAATCCAATAGATAGTAAAGAACTATACCTTAATAAAGGACATATATGGCAAGCCTATACCCAACATATTAAATGGGAAGAAACCCAAAGCACTGCCACTAAAATGAGAGGCAAAGGCATACACCTTCTCCATTGCTATTCAACAGTCTTTGGAGTCTTTGAGCAAAAAGCTAAAGGAAAGAAAATGGATACAAATAAAGGAAGAAGCCAAATGATCCTTTCTTTAGACACAATGATCCTATACATGAGATGCCAATCCCACCACCAGACAGCTTCCAGAACTGATAAACACCTTTATAAAAGGAGCAAGATATAAAGCCCACACACAAAACTCAGTAGCTTTTCCATAACCAATAACTGACACCCTAACAAAGAACTCAGGAGAGTATCTCATTCACAACAGCTTTAAAACGATGCAAAATTTAATAAATATACATATGCACACACACACACACACACACACACACACACACACACACACACACACTGTGAAATAACACAACCAAGGAGGCAAACAACCTCTTCATTGAAAACTTAAAAATACCAAAGAAGGAAATGAAAGAAGACACCAGAGGACAGAAAGGCCTGTTATGCTCATGGATTGGCAGAAATAATATGGAAATGGCTATATTATTGAAGGCATCTTGTTAGAAAGATCTGAGGAATGCCAAAAAGACTACGTGGATTAGATAAGGAGGAGATCAAAACAGCTACAGAAGAAAGGGTGCTAAGAAACAGCAAGGCCAGAGTGTGAAACACACTGTCTGTGGACGAAACCCTCAAAGGTTATGATGAGAGCAATGTTAAAGAGGACAGTAATGAGCTGGAAATGGAACTTCAGAGCCAGTGAAGTAACTTGGACCAGAGGATGACTCCTGAGGCTCTGCGCTCATGGTTCGCAGTGCAGGTTGACGATAAGGAGGTGAAGGGCTGGGGGAAAGCAGCAGTGATGGTCTTCTGATTCTAGGTTCTAAATCTTTAAAAGTATTAAAATATAAAAGAACACCAAACATAAAAATCACAATTCCAGGCAGTAAAGTACACTGGCTTTTGTGTGTGACAGATAACCCAGAACAGAAAAGTTTTAGGTAGTCATACAAAGGTGCTGAACAGTGTTTGTCAAGATGGGTAAAGTGAAGAATCCTAGACCCCATGCCTACTCTGGATCAGACTCTCTGAGGTCCCAAGGCATCCTGGGAGACTGTTACAATGCAGAGCTCATATTGAGGAGCGGTAACTCACAGCCTCCTGTCAGTAGCCATGGGATTATGGAGCAAACACAAAGTCAGCAGAGGGAGGCCAATCAATTGTAACTTCTGCTCTATCTGAATGGGATTGCAACTAAACCACCTGACATGCAGAGTACTCTGCCAGAAAAAGCCAACAACTCCCCACATTCACTCACACCCACTCAGTTAGGTGTGCAGACACAGTGCTAATAGACGCTGCTACTGACGGTCAGTGTTCTCAGCATGGGAGGTATTGAATACTCGGATCTAATCCAGGACACAGTCCCAAGTACGCTGGGTAACTCAGTTCCCTGCACCCTAAATGCCAGTTTCATGCTCCATCATTCTAACAATAACAAACAAAACAAAACCTTCATGTTTCCAAGTGCCCTGTAGGACCAGAACTACCCTCTTGAGAATTATCGGTGGCTTGGAACCCCATTGGCCAAGGAGAGCAAGTGTTGATGGGCTGTACTATGGATCACCCACCCGCCACTGAGTAGCTCAGCGACAGCCCCTGGGGTTGCAGGAACTGGCGTCAGGAAACAGATCCATTGGAAATAGTATTTTCCCACACAATGTTGGGCTGACATTCACAGCTGGGACTATTGCTGTAAACGTACCTCTATTTTCCCAGTTAGCCTCTCAATCTCAGACCGATCCTCTCGCAAACTTTTGGTATTTCCTCTAAATTCTCTTAGTTGCTTTTTCTGCAGCTTTTCATAGCTTCTCTTCAGTCTTGCTAACTGTAAAGACAGTTATTTACATAAATTTAAGAGTTAGTAAATCATGGTGGTCAGACAAATTGGATTATAAAGCAAAAGCAGTGCTAAATTATCCTATTAAAAATAGATTGGCGGGCTGGAGAGATGGCTCAGAGGTTAAGAGCACTGACTGTTCATCCAGAGGTCCTGAGTTCAATTCCCAGCAACCACATTGTGGCTCACAACCATCTTGAGTGAGATCTGGTGCCCTCTGCTGGCATTCAGGTAGAAGACTGTATCCACAATAAAAAAAAAAAAAACAGACTGGCAGCATGTTAGAGTTGCAATAGCTTGGTTGGTACAGCGCTGACCTATGTTAGAGCTGCAATGGTTGGGTTGGTACAGCTCTGACCTAGTCAGCTCCAGGCCCTAGTAACACATAACCCAGTACCACAAAACTGGGCGTGGTAGCAAATGCAGTGATCACACAATTAAGTGTAAGTAGGAAAATCTGGTCAAGGTTATCTTCAAATACATGGAGTCTAGGGCTAGCCTGAGGTACCTTACCTCAAGGTGCATGCCTGCTTGTATGTGTATGTGTAAGAAATAAATGCTAGCAATGAAATTTCCAGGCCAAAAAGAAAAGAAAACAAAAAAATCTAGTTTTATTACAATTGCCGTGCATTCATAGGTTCCTGGGATCAAATTCATGCCATCAGGCTCAGTGGCAAGTGCCTCTACCCAATGAGTCATCTCTCAGCCCAGGCTTTTCTTAATCCCCAAATATTTCTAAGCCTTTTGTGTCTTCCAGTATTTAAAAATCAGCAACCGAATTACCTTACAAATTAAAATATTAAGTTTTTTGGTACCAAGATTTCAGTATTATACAAACATAGCTCTTTTTCCTTTAGGTGCTCAGTCAATTGCTGCATCAGCTAATATCAAACGTATTGGGCAAGATTCTTGGCCTAGATTCAAGGTTAGAAACTCTACTTCTGCCACATACTTCCCACAGGTTATCACACAGGATATGCATTTCCTACCATATAAAGCAGAAACCAGTTCTCAACACAATAGCCAAGAGTTACAGAGGAAGAACGACTACACAATGTCACAGAACTGAAGTCTCACCTCCTCCTGCAGTTTCTTTAACTCCTGCTTATACTCCATGGCCATTTCTTGCTTGGATTTTTCATGTTCTTCTATCTGCTGATGCAACATTCCAATCTAAAAGCAGAAAGAGTAATACAGTTCAGTATTAGCATTGAAATGATATCCCTACAATATAAAAAAAAGAAAATAATCCTTGTACTTACTTGCAAACTAAGGTTCTCAGTGTGTCTACACAATTAGCCTTCTTCCCAGGCAGGCAAATAAATGACTGACTCAAGAATCTACATAACAGCTACAAACAGAAATAATTCTTTTACAAAGTTACAGTTAGTTCAAGACTCACACTCCTTGTCTGATTTATTCTCCCCAACCCTCTTGTTAAAATAAATAATAAATCTTCATAAAAATAGCAGATATAAAATTTAACTTTTTTTTTTTTTTTGGTTTTACAAGACAGGGTTTCTCTGTATTGTTTTGGAGGCTGTCAGTCCAGCCCAGCCTCGAACACACAGAGATCCGCCTGCCTCTTCCTCCCGAGTGCTGGGATTAAAGGCGTGCACCACCACTGCCCGGCTAAAATTTAACTTTTTAAAAAATATTTATTTATTATGCTATACAGTGTTCTGCCTTGTAAGCCTGCACACCAGAAGAGGGCACCAGATCTCATTACAGATGGTTGTGAGCTACCATGTGGTTGCTGGGAATTCAACTCAGAACCTCTGTAAGAGCAGCCAGTGCTCTTAACTGCTGAGCCATCTCTCCAGCCCCAAATTTAACTTTTTTAATAACTAAAAATATTTCGTTTTTAGAATCCTGCAAAACTTGAACAATAATTTCTGCAGGTAAAGCACAGGTCAGTAATGTCAGAGACAGATTAGAAGACAATAGATGGCTCCTACTTACTTCATAATTTCTGACCACCCAGAGTAAGGAAGGGATCCTAACCCATTCTTCAGTGATTTGGTTCCAGTGATAACAATCTCATACCTAGCCATCAACTCTGAATAAATATCCAGCAGTATCCTACTGACAGTCAGTTAAAATTTAACCAGTACACAGAAACAGAAAGGAAGCACAGGAGTCTATGTAGTCGTGTGTGTGTGTGTGTGTGTGTGTGTGTGTGTGTGTGTGTGTGTGATACATATATATAAACATGACTGTGAAGACCAGAGTTAAAAGTTGGGTGTCTTCCTCAATAACTTTCCACCTCATCTTTTGAGGAAGGGTCTTTTATTGAACTTGGAGCTCATCTGTTCAGCTAGACTGGCTGGCCAGCAAGCCCTAAGAACCCTCCAATCTCTGTCCCTCCAGTGCTCATTACAGACATGTGCAGTCATACCTTGAGTTGACATGGTGCTGGGGATTGAACTCAGATTCTCATGCTTGTGTGGCAAACAATTTACCCACTTACTGAGCCATCGTCCCAGCCTTTTCTGATTTCTTAAAACGGGTATTTAATGACTGACTTCCAGCCTTCCTTTTGTTAACATATCTGGAGATACTGAAAGATAAAATTCCCTGTAGGCACCATGTGAGAAGTATCCTATGTTGTTTTTCTGTTTATTTTGGTTCTTGCTGAGGACTGATCTTAGAGCCTCTGCATATGTAAGCACACACTCCGCCACTTATCATTCATCCAACCCCACAAATGTGACCCATAGGAAGTTCATTATCAAAGTATATTCTAATTTTCTCTGTGATTTCTTCATGACTCACATAGTGGCTCACAATTGTCTGTAATTCCAGTCCCAGGGGATCCAATGCCTTCTTCTAACCTCCATGAGTACCAGGCACACACGTGGTGAACATAGATATATGCAGGTATAACATTTGTATTCATTAATAAAAATAAACAAGTCTAAAAATAAGGATTATTTAGAAGTGTATTACTTTTCCAAGTACTTGAAAGGCCTTTTAGGAGTATATTGCTCAATTTCTAAGTACTTGAAAAGCTGTCTTTTAATTATGTTGAGTTTTAGATTAAAACCACTTTGTTACAAAAACATACAATTTAATCTGCTGTAGCTGCCTGATGACAGTAAAATGCTCCCATCACAAAGAAAAGAACATGTTTAAGATTAATCAGGTCAAGCTGATTTTGATCAACTCTCCACCTTCACTGCTTTTCCACGTGCTTGTTCTAGCAATAGTAGGGAAGCTGTGAAGGCTTCTACAGTTTCCATGAATATAATTTCTCCCTAAATGCTGTGTTTGCTTTGTATATTTTACGACTGTTATTAACTACTTACAGTCCCAGAGAGAAGGTAAAGGATAACCTGTGGGAGTTGGTCATCTCCCTCCACTTTGTGGGTGCCAGGGATTGAACTCAGGTCTTCAGGCTTGGCAGCAGGCATCCTTACCCACTGAGCCATCTCGCTAGCCCACGTTACATCCATTGTCTTTCTTTCTTTCTTTTTTGTTTTTTGTTTTTGTTTTTGTTTTTTGTTTTTTTGGTTTTACGAGACAGGGTTTCTCTGTATTGTTCTGGAGGCTGTCGGTCCAGCCCGGCCTCAAACTCACAGAGATTCACCTGCCTCTGCCTCCAGAGTGCTGGGATTAAAGGCGTGCGCCACCACCGCCCGGCTCCATTTTCTTTTGTATATCTTTTCATTACACAGTATTTCCAAATTCTTACTTTCAAATTTTGATGTATAATTTTAAATTTTCCTTCCACTAAATTCTTTGGATTTAACAAGCTCTCTCCCTAATCCCCTGAAATAATTCACTTCCTATAGATTTTTCAGCCTATCTTCTTCTGACACACTCTCACAACAATAAAGGGCCGTCTTCCACACTATCTGCATCCTGCAACTCTGATTATAGTTCTATCTTTCAACTTAAACTGACTTTCATTTCTATCATGGCTTCTCTCAGAACTTTACTTCTTAATTTCCAAATACATAGATTTTTTCAGAGTTACCTTTTTCTAGCTTGTTTCTGCTATGTTAAGAGAGCTTATCTATGATTTCAAGCCTTTGTTTATGGCAAAATGTACTTCATGGCCCAGTATAGAGTCAATTTTGGTAATTGTTAAGTTTGTGCTGGAAAAGAAATGCATGTTCTGCAGTTTTCTTCTGTCATGTTCTACAGTTATAAACTGGGTCAAGTTTGCTGATCACGCCGTTCAAATCTGTATCTTTATGAATGGCTGCCATCAGTTACTAAGACAAATGTGTTAAAACTCCCAAGAATGACTGTGGCTTCATTATTTCCTACTGACAGTCCTGGCATTTCTGCATACGTATAAGGAAGGTTAAAACTGTCTTACTGTATCTTTTGTCCTATTTTGAGTTTTTCAAAAGTATAATCTGAGATGTGGACTTCTGGATAGGTAACTGGAGTGACCTTCGAAAGTACAGTGAGGGGACAGGAAGGGAGAGCCACACAGGGTCTATGACCACAGTAAGCAGCCTTTTCTAGTATGAGCACAATTACATCATCTTTCCCTTCAAGTGTCTGGGGGGCAGGTATTTTTATTTGCCTTTTGCTTTCAACCTTCATGTGCGGTTTACAATCATTAAGTAATTGTGACTCATTATTTTCATCTCGTTGGCTAATTTTTATCTTTTAAATGAGTCAGTGGCTGCACTTACAATTAATGGACGTACCTGGATTTAAATTATTGTCTTATGTGTCATGTGCACTTGATAAGCCCTGCACCTTTTTCCTCACTGCTTGCCCTCTTTTGACTGACTCCTTTTCATCACCCCACTTTCTCCTTCTGTGAGCCGGAAAGATATTCTCAGCTAGTACATACTCAAGGTTCCCTCAGACTGACCCAGGGATCATTGACATAACAAGTCTAATGCCAGTGGGTTGCCTTTCCAATTCCCTGGTAATCCTGCCACTAAAATGTAATTTAATTCCATTCATCTCCAAACTGACTTAATTGTTCACCACAATACTGAATAGATGATAAGCTGCTGCATCTGATCACTACCCACTTATATTTTCTTCCTGGAGCTCTGACCTTCTATCTACAACTGTCATTAATATCTGAAGAATGTTCTTTCTTAATTGTTGATTTCATCTATTGTGTACAAGTGCTCATGCATGCCTGTGCATGTGAGGAGGTCAGTGGGCAGCTTGCAAAAGGTAGCAAGGACTTTACCACTGAGCTGTATCCCCAACCCTCTGTGGTCACTTTAAACATCACTGATTTCTTTCAAGGTGGTCTCAGTCTCCAGAGCAGCACTGGCACAGGAGTCATAATGAGCAGGCTGAAGCTACAGATCCAAAAACATTCAGTTGAAAAACACAGAAACAGGGCTAGACACTCTCATTTGTTCCACTAAGTCAACATGGAGTTAAGGACAACAGCAGTGGAAACACCATCAAAATCAGCCCTGTCTCAACTCTATGGTGAGAAATACATTAGCTAGCAAAGTGACTCTCTTACAGTGGTGTTCCTCCAAGCATGGTCTGCAAGCGGCTGGTGGTGGCATAAAAGAGCAGCCCAGCATGAGATAAGAAGCCTACAACAAGAGTGTCAACCAGCCATCCATCCACTCAAGATTACTATAAATGACACTGGCACACAAGAAAACATTCCCACCGAAGATGCTGATTCACATTCAGCCACAAGCCTCCCATCTCACTGGGTCCCTGTCCTTTGAGGAGCCATAGGACTAATTGTTTCTTGACCTGTACCCCTCAGACAGAATTTTAAAAAAAAACCTAAAGCCTATTTTCTAGTTGTTATATCATGTGATACTATGAACATATTAGAAATTAAGTGGTTTTTTTTCTGTGTGTGTGTGTGTGTGTGTGTGTGTGTGTGTGTGTGTGTGTGTGTGTGTGTGTTCTCATCCAAGGTTGACATCAGGAGTCTTCCTCAACTTCACCACTGAAACAGAGTCTCTCAGTTGAACCTAGAGTTTGCCATACAGCTTGGTCTAGCTAGCCAGCTTGCTCCAATGACCCCATTTCTACCTTCTAAGAGCTAGAAGAGTCACCATGCCCACCTGGGATTTAAGTAGGTTCAGGGGATCTGCACTCTGGTCCTCATGCTTACACAGCAAGCATTTTATCCACCAAACCATTGCCCGAGCCCTAAAATTAGTGTGTTAATGAAACACATAGTGTCCCATTATTGGTGCCGGACAGAAGTACATATGTCTAGAAACTTAATTTCCAACAACCCAATCAAGGAAGCAACAAGTTAACGAGATAGCTGCAATTCTAAATTTCCTAGATATCCCATGCCAAACTCGGGAAATCTTAAAATCCTTACCTGGGAGCCTTCCATTCAATCCACTTTCTCTTTGAAGCAATTACATAATGGTAACAATACCCTTGGTATGGAACGAAGTCAGAGGAATAAGTCCAGACTTAGCCTCAGAGTGGAGTAATAGTCTCACAATCACAAATGTCAGTTTCTTTTGTGGATTTTAACAAAATAAACAACCCAGACATCAATATATACAGTGGTTTTCTGAACCAGGAAACAGTGTCACATCAATTACTGAGCATAACTGCTTCTGTCTTGCCCTGGGAGAAGTGAAGAAGAAGCCACAGTAGCTCCCAGAAAAGCAGATGTGTCTACTCAAGTTGTTTTACTTATTTGTCTGTCTGTTTATTCGCATATGTGTATGGTGTTTTCCTGCATGTATCTATGCACCACATGCATGCCTAGTGCCCATGGAGGCCAGAAGAAGGTGTCAGATCTTCTGGGACAGGAATTACAGACAGCTGTTAGCCACCATATAAGTGCTAGGAAATGAACCTGGGTTCTCTGAAAGAACAGCCAATGCTCTTAAGCTGATTGTTGAGGGAGGTGATTGTTGTTACTTTGGCTTTTTTATCCAAAGTGACTGTCATTTGGTATGCTTTCTCATCACCTTCCCTATCTCGGTGTAAATTGTATTCTAAAAAAATCTAATAAACTTTAGAATCAACTCTAGATGAGCGAATACCATTTGCAGAAATCTAAATTTGATATAACCAATATTACTAAAGTGCTATTTGACTCTAAATGCAAATGGCGAACCACTAGGACATAACTTTTTAATTCTTTGAAAATTTGATACATATATACAGTATTATCAACCAAATCACAATTCGTGTTCCACAATCCTGGAAGTATACTGAGCATAGCAGTCAACTTGTGTTGGCCTTGATGAGGGCAGATCCCACACGGACAAGTCTGGCAGGATGAGAATGAGGTTTGGGGCTAGCATCTTCCTACAGCCCTGTCCTTCCAAGACTGGCTTGTATGGAAACTTAGGGACAATGCTTGTACCTGCAATCCTTTCTGCTTTCCTTCCAGTACCCAGTGTTTTTCTTCTATTGTACCAGCTGTTATGAGAAATAAATCAGGAAATAGTCTTTAAACTTCCCCCTACACTACCAATATCAGCAGATAGTGGGACTGCAAATTATTTTATTTTCCTTCTTCTTCCTTAGTTATTTTGCTTTTGCTTGGTTTTTCAAGGCAGGGTTTCTCTGGGTAGCCCTGGCACTCTGTAAACTAGGCTGGCCTCGAACTCACAGAGGTCTGCCTGCCTCTGCCTCTGCCTCTCAGTGCTGGAATTAAAGATGTACACCACCACCATCTGGTGGTTATCTCTTAGTTTTAAACAAAGGTCCGTGTGAAATAGGCTTCCTTAGCTTAGCTTACAGTGCTGGAGGTCCTGGCCAGGACTGTGCACACGCCAAACACTCCATCACTGAGCTGCTTCCCTAGCCTTGACTTGTTAACTCTAACAAAAGAGGCAAATGGTTAAAAGCAAGGACTCAATTCTTCTTGGTGTTTTGTGGTTTTTGGGGGCCTGGGGAGATAAGCATTCTACAGCTAAACCATACCCCGAGTCTTCAATTTTGTTTTTTACCTACCCTTACAAGAAAAGACAAAAAAACAACTCCTTACTAAACTTGGTGGTGTTAATACATGTAATATGATGAAAGTATGCAAAAATTATATAACCCCTTCTTCCATTTTCTTTGTGTGCTAGGGTTACAGAGGTACACCACCATACTCAACTCCATTGCTTGAGCTCTGGGGATGCAAACTCAGAGCCTTAGGCTTGTACAGTAAACAACTAACAAAGCCATATCCCCAATCTCCTCTGTCACTTTCTTACAGAAAGTATGTATTATATGTGTCCAAAGTAAAATGGTCCTTGAAATAAATATTAATATTAGTACACCTTCATAATAAAGTTTCTCCTAAAAGAAACCATAAATATTAGAATAAACACCAAAAAAGAAAAAAGAAACTCTCTTGGTAAGCAAACGCTTTCTTTAACAAACATTTAAGAAGCACGTTTAGTACAAAAGATCGAACTACCAAGAGAGTGAATCAAGGGTACTGGGGCATGGGTTGCTCCAATGGTATTATATTCAAGCTTGAACACGGGCATACAGAACCCTGCATGATTTAAAAACCAGACGTGAAAATAACAAGAAAAGTGAAGCAGCCATCTACCTCTTTGTGCTTCATGTCCAGCTGACTCTTCAGGGTCTTCAGCTCCCGGTCACGGATGTCCAAACAAGTCTCCAGGGCGTGCGTCTGCCCCTCCCACTCAGATTTCTTATGAGCTACCATTATATCGATCTGTTTCATGAGCTCTTGCAGTTCTGCTTCACAGGATGTCAGAAATCCCCTACAAACACCAAGAGACCAAACACCACGGGTGCCTAAGTGGTTTCTCATCTTTCATGGTTTGTCATCTATCTGAAGAACTAAGCCATTACAGAAGCAACAACTAGGATGTCTACACCCTTGCTGTCCTATACTGCATGCTGTCCTATACTACAGACAGCTGCTTCCTCCACAGAATACTCTGCTCTCCTCTAATGAGTAACTAAAGCTGAAGTCACTTGGTGAAACACAGATGGACGTTTTACATATGGCTTTCCAACTGAGACTTTCACTACTATTAACCATGCCTTCTGGGACATTCTTGGGACACTTTTTGGAGAATCCAGGCAAACCAATGGCATGTCTCCTTTGGCCAAAACAAATGGCCTTGGCAGCACACAGGTTATTGTGCAGGAAAAGATACTTTAAAAAAATGTTTTGAAAAATTGATCCTTTAGCAAGATCTATTGCAATCATTTTTTTCAACTGTTATGAACACACTGCAGCCTACCTCACTGCTCTCCACCCACTGATGCCCGCTGAGCTGCAGGAGAAAACTCATATTAGGATAGAAGCAAGAGTCCCCCAGGTACTGCTAGGCCAAATGATACAGGGAGGGATGCCATCCACAAGTGTGCAGTGGCTCAGCCTAGCATCTGCTTAACAGAACCAAATAAGCTTTTAAAATGCACCAGAAGCTCGCAGTTAAAAGCAAACTTACCCACTATGCCCCCGGTTTTGTATTCCTTCCAACAAAGCCTCCATAGCCAAATCCCCTTTGTTTTGGCAACTGGGGGGAAGAGAAAGGAGAGAGTGAGAAAAGTCACTGTTTGAATTCCAACATTCCAACCTAATGTGAGGGAAAGCAGAACCTCAGTGAGAAAACACAAAGCAGTAAGGCGGCTGTGGAGCAAGGAATACCATTTAAGAAATGCTAGCACCAGTACAGTCAAAGATAACAAAGTCCTAATTGCTTCTGACACTATCCTGCAAAATCAATGAAATGCCTCATTGTTCTAGGCCTTTTTTATTTATTGTTGAATTTAACTTAATTTTTGAGACAGGGTCTCACTATGTAGCCATGGCTGGCCTGGAACCAGCTATGCTAAGTAGACCAGAGTGGCCTTGAACTCAGAGAGGTTCAGCTGCCACCCCAGGGTTTCTTTCTTTTGTTGTTTTTGTTGTTGAGATTTATTTTTCCCCCCAGGGGAGAGCATGAACATAGTCCCCAACTACCACAAATTATGCAGTCAAGTTTCCCTGCATTTGGGGAAATCGCAGGGGTTAGCACATCTGGAGTACAATGGTAAGCCTCACCCTGGGAAAACCACCTTCATGATCATGGTATCTCCCCTGCCAGGTAAGTAATTTTTTCTGTGTGTGTTTATGCATGAATGGGTACACATGCTTGGGTACCCACAGAGGCCAGAGGCATTGTAGCCACCAGATCTGGGTGCTGGGAACCAAGCTCTGTCCTCTTCAAGAACAGTACATGTGCTTAACCACTGAGCTACCCCTCTAGCTCTTCTATGCCTAATTCTTAAAGAATGTAAGGGTGGGAAGTATCTGCTCTCAAGGGACATTTACACAAACCTCTTTACACAATGAGAGGAGTAAACCCGGACACTGATGAGAAGAAAGCACAATTTTCCACTCACATAGCATAGGGGGTTTTTTGTTTGTTTGTTTTGCTTGTTTTAAGCATAGGTTTCTTGATTTTTAAAACTAGAGCCATTATAAAGAGGTTAAACTCCCTGCTCAGGGGTTGGAGAGATGGCTCAGTCGTCGTCAAGAGCACTTGCTGCTCTTCCAGAAGACCTGGGTTCAGTTCTCAGAACCTACATGGCCACTCACAATTGTAGCTCCAGTTCTAGGGGCTCTAACACCCTCTGCTGGCCTCCACTGACGCCATGTATACACATGATGAGCATATATGCAAGCAAAACACTCATACACATAAAATAAATTTTAAAGAAGAAAGCTGTTCCCTTTCCTTACGCTTCGGAAGTTTCAACCCTAAACTAGCTAAAGGTTAGAGTGTAGACATTCAGTTCCTCTGTCCTAGTGCTTTCCCAAAAATTGTATTTCTCTGAGAGGTAGATTACTTTATTCAACAAATTCAGTGTTGTACAGACTGTTCTCTAGATAGTAAGAAAAGGTATGCTCCTTCCCAAGGAATATCCCAGTGTGGAACTAAGACAGAAACAAAAATGTTCACATCCCTGGCAATGATTGTAGGGACAAAGGACACACAGAAGACTCCAGAGACAGAGTGGAAGATGAGCAGACTGGAAAAGCACAGCAGCATGCTGTGTCTGCACCCATTTCTACATGTCCTCACAAGGACGCACGATGTGGCGGAGGGCTCTTTCCTCCAGCTGGTGTGCTGATTTTTTCACCACGACCCAAAGTAAAACCCTAAATGAAAGGAATCCACATTCAACTCCACTTTCTCCAAACCACAGTGACAGTCAAATTACAGTGTCTCCTATGCCCTGCCTTTGCTCTGCTCCAGAAATGGAAGGCAATAGATCAACACAGACAGAGGCCCATAAAGCAGCTCTGCTCTGCAACTAACCAGCTACGTGTTGCTGGACTTCAGTTGTTCCGTCTGTAAAATGAACTTACGAGCAGTAACTGCAAAGCATGTATTTCATCTTTGTAATTATTTCTCAAAATTATTCTCAAAATTATACCTCTTTAGGTCATGTTATTCTTAAATAGTGAGTGAGCTACTTAATATATAATTTGTTGGCATTTATGTATGACACTGCTTAATAACTAACAATGTGTATAATAGATGCTAAACCTTAGTGACTATTCACCTTATCTGCCTGCCTCTTACATGTTCTATCTTCTGTACTCTTGTAAAAGACAGGTGCTATAAGTAGATAGTAGATATAAAGCAAATGATAACCAGGCAACAGTCCACAACCCCAGAGAAGCTGGGTAAAAAGGGGACCCTAAGAGGGACACACATGGAGGGCCCAGGAAGGGAAAATAGTTGAGATCTCCTGGGTAAACCGGGAGAGGGGTAGAAGAGAGGGGATGGGGGATGGAAAAATGAGAGATCAAGAATGGAGGGAGAGAGCAATGAAAGAGCTAGCTTGATGGGTTAGGGAGAAACCTGGTGCTAGAGAAATTCTCGGGAATTCACAAGGATGACCCCAGCTAAGACTCACAGCAATAGTGGACAGGATGTATGAACTGGCCTTCTCCTTTAATCAGATGAGTGACACCCTAACTGTCATCATAGAACCTACATCCAGTAACTGATAGAAGCAGATGCAGTGACCCAGCACTGGGCTGGGCTGAGCTCCTGGAGTTCAGTTGGAGGGAAGGAGGAGGGATCATATGACCAAGGGGGGTCAAGACCATGCCGGGGAAAACCAGAGACAGCTGAGGGGAGCTAGCAGGAGCGCACAGACTGTGGACTGACAGCCGGGGAACCTGCATGGGACTGAACTAGACCCTCAAATGTGGGTGACAGTTATGGGACTTGATCTGTTGGAGGGACTCCTAGCAGAGGTATCAGGTCCTATCTGAGGGGCATGAACTGGCTTTTTGGAGCCCATTCCTTATGATGGGATACCTTGCTCAGTCTTGATATGGGGGAGGGGGGGGACTTGGTCCTGGTTCAATTCCCAGCACCTACATGGCAGCTCACAACTGTCTATAACTCCAGTTCCAGGGGACCCAACATATCCCTGACCATATATATATACAGGTGACAAATACACTGTACTCATTCCATGTGAGAAAAGCCATTTGTGAAAGGACAGTCAGCTTCGTGCTACTTTAAAGGAATACAAGAGTCCTTTTAAACAAACAGACAGGCATGGTAGCACCTTTACTTCCAGTGTTCAGTGGGTAGAGGCAGGCAGACTTGTAAACTGAGAATATATATATATATATATATATATATATATATATATATATATACACATACATACATATATGCGCTATCGCTTTGAGGAAACAGGCAAGAGGGCAAGGTGACTTGATTATGGAAAGCTACAGGTTACATTCCTGAAGTTCAAGCCAGGCAATGTGACCCTCTGGTCCAAGCAATGTGCCATCTTTTGTATCGCTGGGCCTTCTTATGCTTAACAGGACCTGGAAACAATAAAAGTGAAGCATATCGCTTTGTGGCCACTAGGTGGCAGCAGCACTTGTGATAAAGCTGTTGAGGTGTAAGGAGAGCCACCGCTCAAACTGAAATCCTAGGGCTTGAGACAAAGGAATTCTACTTTAAAACGGGCACAGAAGACCAGCAACATGCCCTGAAAACACCACCTGCTAACGTGAGGCGTGTTTCTTTAGCAACACCCTCTGCACCAGTTTCCATTCTCTAGGATCCGCTAAGCTTTGAGGACTCAGATTTCCCATGGACATTTGGTTGTCTTCAGTTTCTCACAGCAACATCCCTGATTCCGTCCTTAACTGGCATGACCTTCATTCACTCCAGATAAGTTACTTTCTTCCTCTTTGATGGTGCCATGTGACACAAGACTGTGTAGCAGAGTATTCCGTGTCCCTAATATCCAATACAGATTTAAGTAAAACATGTTCGATGATTCTTATCAACATCAAATGCTTACATGGGCTCCACAGCCACCAACAGGCAGAACTCGGTATTCACAACAGCCTTTGAAGGCTGAAAGGGAAAGTACCAGCTCAGGACCCAAGACCAAGTTCTCAGCACAAAGGAGATTTATTTGTCCCAGAGGAACAGAGGGCAGGGAATAAGAGACAAAGACAGGAGATGGAGGATGAGGGGAAGGGGGAAGGGGACAAGGGAGGAGACAGGGAAATTTGTCCCAGAAGACAAAGGATTGCCTCTAGATAGAGAGGAGACAGAGGTGACCCACAGGCAAATGGTGGTTTATAAGGTAAAACGGGAAACCCTGTGTTAGGATCAGGTGTTTAATTTTATTTGGGCATGTTAATCAAGTGAGTCACGGGGGCTTTTGATTTCTGGACTTCAATACTTCAGTAGCTGGACCTTAGTGTTCAGCCTCAGGAAGAGGAAGTAGCCAAATAAGAGACTAGACCTTGGTGTCTTCAGGAATGTAATCTACCGGCTTTTAGCAGACAGCGAGAATGAAAGAGAAGTCAAGGCCTGCCAGAGCCATATCCTGAGGGGACTAGTGTCCCTTGAGAGCTGATTTCAGTCAGGCAAACCTGGACCTGAGAGCTTAAAGGGGATACAGATTTTTAGCATCCAGCCCAGGGAGCAGGAAACACACACTTTAGTGTCAGGGTTGAAAGAGCAGGAACAGGAGGCCTGATCATGCCAAAGCTCTGAAATCCGCTAGCACACTGGGACTTAAGGGGCAGAAGGCACCACAGGCCTCTCATAAACCTCTCCCCTTACAGGTGAAGGGGATATCCAGAGTATATATCAATGATCACACTACAAAATGGGACGCAGGAAGAAAAAACTGAGTAATGTGTAAATGTGTGATGCTAAGAGACGGGCCATGCCACGTTACATCACCTTAAAGGAGAACAGGGATTCCTGTCAGGACCACGTTATGGCTGTGACAGACACACTACACTAATAAGCTGGACTCTTCCAAAAACAATCAACACTGTTCCTTGTTTATCAAAAAGCTCCCCTTTATGGGCCAGGAGGTGGTAAACTAGAGAAATTTTTCAAAATAAAGATGAGAGTTTTAAAAGGCTGCCAAACTGTGACCAAAATTAGGAAGAAAAATTACAAAGACTAAGAAATACGACTACTTAAACTTTTAAATGGAAAAATCCACAAGGAAAGCCTTAGAAATAGTTTTACACAAGGTAGTGGTGGCACCAACCTTTAATTGTAGCACTCAGGAGGCAGAGGAAGGTGGATCTCTGAATTAGAGACCAGCCTGGTCTACAGAGCAAGTTCCAGAACAGCTAGAGCTACACAGAGAAATCCTGTCTCAAAAACCAAAAAATAAAAAAAGAGTTTTACTACAAAAAGTTAATTACTAAAGATATAACTTTCAAAAAGTTTTAAAAAAAAGACAGGTATAGGAAAATAGGTAGGAGATAGGAACAATCAGTCAACAGAAAAGGAAATGCAAATGACCTTATTTAATGAAAAGATGCTTAGTCTTGCTTACTGGAAAAATACATTATTTATAAACTATGAAACTTACTACACGTTCATTCACTGAGAACACTATGAAGCTGTAAAAAGAGGTAACAGTCACTACATCCTTTATGGAAGGATCTGTTAGAAGATAAAAACAGCAAGATACAAACAGTAAAAAGAAGGAAGTGTATTTGGGGTACTTATTTACTAAGAACAAACTGAGAAACAGTATACCTGTAAGGAGGGAAATAATCATGGTGGAGGAGATGGGGCTGACGCTAGTCTGCTACTGGTAACACACCTGTAATCCTAGCACTTGGGAAGTAGAGGCAGGAAAATCCTAAATTCAAGATCATCCTTGGCTACAGAGCAAGTTCAAGGCCAGCCTGGACTATATAAAACCCAGCTAAAGCAAGACCAGAAGGGGGAAGCTATCAAAACTATGGATCTTGAAGGGTTTCCACTGGCTAAAAACAAAACAATTTGGGGTATCAAAAAAATGCAACATGTTCAAACAATTTAGACACATTAAAGTCTATTTGGTTTGTTTTTAAAGGTAAAGCCCTCAGGTTACCTCTGGAGGTTGCTAGGCCACAGATTTACATATATTAAAGTCTATCTGTTGGTTTTAAAGGTAAAGCCTTCAGTTTACCTTTGAAGGTTGCCAGGCCACCAATTCATGGCTGTAGTCTGAAAAGAAAGGAACAGAGTTAAGCATTCTTCTTGCCCTTTCTGTCCTAACTGTATTTCAGGGCAGTCAGAGAGCTGTGGGAGGCAAATTCTTGAGGAGTGCCGGCTACTCGAGCACTGAGGACATGGCCCAACTAGAAACCACCAGTCTGGCTGCAGTGCAGTAACAGACCCAGGCACTGCTGGCCGTGAGAGAAAGGCCTCCCTATTAACTGAAAGGCTCTTCAACAATCATGCTGACAGCACAGGAACCGCTACACAGCTCAACTGCAACATCCCAGATGGGATGACTCAGGCATTACATGTCTCCCTGATAATGCAGCAGATAATTTTCGTAATATAGAACCTACATCTACCATATTTTCTTGCACCTCCCATTAAAAAAAAAAAAGGTTGAATCTAACACTTCTGATCACTGTATTTCAACAGAGCTTTCTGTGACTATGGAAACATTTTTATCTGCATTACTGAAACAGTAGCCACTGGGCAACCTGTGACTGCTGGGTATTTCCAATGTGACTAATGCAAGTGGGGGACCATTTTTTATTTCATTTAAAATAGCACATGTAGAGTAGTTGGAGAAACCTGATCCCACTGGATACTGACATTGTATATGTTTTATAAATTTGTACTGTTAAAAAAGGAATACTATGGTTTTGTAAAACCAAATCTAGCCCTTGGCATGGGAAGCATCTTAGCTATGGCAATGTGGACTAACGCTGTCACTGTAAGCTCCTACACAGTACTTGAGAGCAGAGAGGCTAAGCAAGGGTCCTCTACTGCCCCACAGGAGGAAGCAACACTGGCATACTTAACAATATCTATAGTTGTTAAAACTTCAGTATGCACACATTTAAAATGGCTGTGTGTCCGAGTTTATTTAATCCATTTTAGTTTTACAGCCTCCTTTACTAATCACTAAAAGACAAGGAACATGGGGCAAAAATTAACCTGAAGATGGTGCTGAATTCCAAATAAGAAAACTTGTTTCGTCATACATTAAGCTACAGATTTTGTCGTGGTGGTACACGCCTTTAATCCCAGAACTCGGGAGGCAGAGGCAGGAGGATCTCTCTAAGTTCGAGACCAGCCTGGTCTACAAGGCAAGTTCCCGAACAGCTAGGTCTGTTACACACACACACACACACACACACACACACACACACACACCACAAAACAAAAAAAGAGTAAGTGTAAATAGCTAAAGATAATTTATATCCATTGATCCTTTACTTACATACAAGTATAAACTAAACACAAAATTAAAACTAAATGTGGGTATTCGAGAAGTTGAGCGCCTGCTTTACTAAATCAATTTTAAAAATCTAAATTAGCCTCAAGAAAGTCAGCTTAGAAAGCCAATCGAGGTGGCACAATCCTTAACCCAGGAGGCAGAGGCAGGCCCATTTCTGTGAGTTTGAGGCCAGTCTGTTCTACATAGTGAGTTCCTGGCCAGTCAGGGCTTTCTCCCCCATCCCATCCCCCCCCCAGGTTTTCTCTGTGTAACTTGTAACAGCCCTGGATGTCCTGGAACTTGCTTTGTAGATCGGGCTGGCCTCGAACTCAGAGATCCACCTGCCTCTGCCTCCCAAATGCTGGGGCTTCATAATAAGACCCTGACTTACAGGGAGAGCAGACGGTGAGTAGGGAGGGTGTATTTTGGGCAAGGGTAAAGTCTATAAATGAGACAACGGCCTGCTCTAACTCCGCGATTTTGTACAGGGCAAAAGCCCTATTTGCAATCTAGATTCACTGTCAAGTGCCTCCGTGGTTAAAGCCTTATGGAACTGCCCTTTCCAAACTTCCACTCTCCCAATCTTGTTTCCGATGCTGTACTTAAAGGCGTGCGGCCATCTGCAATTCCCCTGCATCAGGGGTTCCCGCCACGCTTCCGCACCTCTCCTACTAACTTTACCGGGGAACCCTGCGGGCTCCCCGCTGAGCTGCTAACCCTAAAGCCTGGTCCGGCGGCGGCGGCAGCGGCAGCCCACACCCCGCCCTCCCGCACGCCTCCGCCGAGGCCGCAGCACCTGGCCGGCCGGCGCGGAGCTGCTCATGGAGTAGTCGGAGAAACCTAGGGGTGCGGTGCCCGAGCAGCTGCAGGCGGGCAGTAGAGGACCAGGCTGCAGGCGGCCAGCAACGGGCAGCGGCCGCGGGCCATGAGGCCGGGAAGCTAGCGGCACCACGGTGGCCAGGGCCGCGTCCGAACCACAACAAGCTGCGGCTGGCCGGTCTTTGGGGCACGCAGGCGGTTACAGAGCGCGCCCCCCGGCCGAGCGCGCCCCCGGAGCCAGCTCGCCGTTCCTCGGGGGCGCGCGCGCGCGCGGCCCAACAACTTGACGTTCGTCCCGCCCCGCCCCCCCAGCAGCGAATGAACTCACCTACATACGGGGTATGAGAGCGCGGCGGGTCACGTGACCAGGAGACCGGGAGGAAGCCGATTCCCGCGCTGTGGGTAAGGGGTTTTTTTTGTTTTTGTTTTTCGCGCCGGCGGCCCGGGTTTCGGAAAGTGTCCCAGCGTCCGCACTAGGCTTCGGGCGTCCAGTGCTCTCAGAAGCGCAGGCAAGTGCTCCAACTGACCTTCAGAGCCACTTTCTTATTGCACGCAGTGCGAAGCGGGAGGATGCCCGCATGGCGACGCTCCACCTCCCCTTTACACTTCCGCAAGTGGTATCTCCAGCCTCCGGGCCGGAAGCGGCGACTGCGGGCGGCTCTGCGTCTAGTGACTCAGGATGGTGGCCCGCGCGGACCAATTTTTGTGTCGGCGCCGTGCCTTTTAGCTTAGAAATACATTTACAAAACTGTAGATTTCGAAATGCAGAGAACGTACGCATCTAATAAGTAAAAGGAGATGTCTGGACAGTGTGATAAGCTCCCCTGTTATCACGCATTGTCCCCAGAGATCTAGGGGACTGGTGAAGAGAAGGGCTGTTGGAACTACGCTCAGCCTGGGGTCTAAGGGAGGCAACCTGAGAGCTGAGAGCTTTGTATTATTGGGCGTGGGGATTGCGCTAGAAAGAGAAGAGTACGCGTGTAAAAAAAAAAATACATTTGAGAAACCTGGAGAGGTTATAATGTGCGGTAAGGGCTTGGGGCAGTGTAAAGGGAGAACCTGAGTGTCTCACCCAAAGACCTGACGTCCGCGTTGGGTTTGGAAGAATGGCCAAGCATTACCGATGAAGAAGAGCAGGAGGTGACTGACAAGCATGCCAGGTTGCAACACGATAAGTGGCCTCCTGGTTCCTAGGTGGCAGGAGGAGCTGACCACTTTTTGCATAATTGTGTGGTGAAGTTTGTGTCTAGAGGTGGAGTGAGGAGTGAGTGTAGAGGTCAGAGGTCAACATCAGTGTCTGCCTCTTATCGCTTCCACTTTGAGTCTTTCACTAAACCTGGAACTTTCTGATTCAGCTAGACTGCCTAGCCTGGCAGGCTCCCAGAGATCTTCCCGTCTCTGCCTCCCACCTCTGCGATGGCAAGTGTGTGCCATTGTGCCAGGCTTTTTATGTGGACACCAGAGCAAGCACTTTGCCCACTGAGTTGTCTCCCAAGCCCCTCCTGTTTAATTTTTGAAAGTAAAAGCCATTCCCCACCCCCAAACCAGATGGATAATGCCAGCTTGCCTTCGATACTGTCGGAGGCAAGCGCGTGCTTGTATGGCAAAGTTAGACTCCAATGCCAAAGGTTGTTTCTTACATGAGTCTCCCTTCTCTTGGATTCAGAGGAGTCCCTGAGAGAGCCAATGAGCTACACCTTTCAAGGCCTGCTTTGGGTTGCCACTTTGTAGCAGGGAGGACAGCATGACTTGTTTGTGATAGGGAACAAACTTGGAAGCCGGAAACTCAGAAGTACTCCATGATGACCGGTCTTGTGAATTATTGCAACTGTTTCAGGAGAAAACTAAGGAATCATCTATGGTCAGGGAGCACTTGGACCAAGCATTGAAGAGGGCCAGCAAGATAGTTAGTGATATAAAAGCATTCCCTGCCAAATGTGGCATCTGAGTTCAATTTCTGGGACCCACCTGGTGGAAGAAGAGAACCATTCACCCCAAAATGTCCTTTGACTTCCACATGTACACAGATATGTTTTTTGCTTTTTAGGAGGAAGAGGGTTGGGTGTTGGGAGCACAACACCAAGGTCCTTGCACCTACAGATCTCCAGGGAGACTAGGAATGTTCAGCATGCAGGATTGTCTTTAGAATGGGAAAGATGGAAATTTGTTCTTCTTTCCAGGGAGCTGGGAATTGGAAGTGGTTAATAGCCTGGTAATTAGTGTTATCTGTTGGGCCAGCCATATCAAGCTCCCACAACCAGGACCAGAAGTAACCTAATAGTGTAAATGACCCTTACATTATCTATGTAGCCAGAGGCTCCCCCAAGCACCCACAGCCAACACCAGAGGTGGCTAATAGCCCAGATGTCCTCTATGTTATCTGTATGACTGAGATCTAGATCAGGCCAGACCCTTCCTTAGGCCCTTAGCTAGTATAGGTAGCCTATCTGTAGAACCCAGCTTCTTGGAAGAAATGACATGTACCCTGAGTCAAGTTTTGTTGTAATTATGTTTCTTTGTGCACTGGGGATTGTATTACACCAGGACACTTTTTTCCAAATTGTACTGTGCTTAAATTTATTGGGAATAAGCCAACTGGCGTCAGACTCCCCAAAGTCAATATGAACCCTGTTTTCATTCTCATTTCTTCACAGTTTGCTCCCCTACCTGGATACCTGCAGAGCCCCCCTCAGCTGGGAATGTAGGTCAGTTGATAGGGTGCTTAACTAGTACATACAGAGCCCTGGGTTCAATTCCCAGTACATCATAAAGCAGATATGATGTCCCACGCCTAGCATCCCACTGGTGGAGTCAGGAGGGTTAGGAGCTTACTGTGGCTTTTGACTACAGAGTTTGAAGCTCTGTCTCAAAAAAGAGGAGGGCCAGGCAGCGGTGGTGCACACATTTAATCCCAGCACTCAGGAGGCAGAGGCAGGTGGCTGTCTGTGAGTTCAAGGCCAGCCTGAACTACAGAGTGAGTTCCAGGACAGCCAGGGCTACACAGAGAAACCCTGTATGCAAAACAAGAAAGAGAGAGAGAGAGGAGGAAGAGGAAGCCCAGAGGGACACAGAACCTGGAGCTGCCCCCGCTGATCATGGCATACTACTTTCAGACTCAGTCTTGATGCTATTAAGAAAGGAAGTGGTTTCCTGGGTTAGCCCAGCTGCCCACATTGTTCCTGCTTTAAGGGTTACCAGCTGGTCTATGGTTGGTCACTTTACACATTCCAGCTCAGAGTCACCCTGATGTTCCCTCGGTTCCGGTGCCTTAAGAACGCCCAGGTATGAGCCAAGGCAGGTGGAGATTTGTGTCAAATCATGGGGACGGGCTTCAGGAGCAGGAGCTGAGACTTGTCAAAGACATTACAAGCAGGGAAAGACTGTACACAATTGGAAAGAAAGCTACAGTTAGACGCAGGGCCTTCCCGGGCTTTATTCAGAAATGTGTTGTTCTCCATTACACTGGGAGCTTGTCTGTCAGCTAGACTGCATCTCCACACCACGTCAGCTAAAGAGGAAAGAGCGGTGGTCTTTTATGTTGTCACCTGGCCCATATAAGATGGGCCTTTCCTGGGGTGGTGTTAAGAAACAAACAGCAGCCGGGTGTTGGTGGCGCACGCCTTTAATCCCAGCACTCGGGAGGCAGAGGCAGGCGGATCTCTGTGAGTTCGAGGCCATCCTGGTCTACAAAGCGAGTTCCAGGACAGCCTCCAAAACAATACAGAGAAACCCTGTCTCAAAAAACCAAAAAAAAAAAAAAAAAGGAAACAAACAGCAATGACAAAACTGTACCCTCATTATGACCTCTTTGGCTTACAGAACTGAGGAGAACAAAGCTGCAGGAAAATGGACAGTGAGGTACAACGGGATGGAAGGATCCTGGATTTGATTGATGACGCTTGGCGGGAAGACAAGCTGCCATACGAGGATGTTGCCATCCCACTGGTAGGTTGTGACCCAAGCTCAGGACAATGATTCAGAGAGGTAATGTGGTAAAGCCCCATGGAGGCTGCTGGGAGGGGAAATACTAGGACCCGGAAATCCACGCTGTGGCATCCTTTAGATCTAGAAGCCTCTGAAGAACAGCTAGTTCATCTCTTTATGGCTCAGAGCACCAGCTGGTGTGATCACCTTAGTTAGGGGTCATTTCAAGGCTGGAGCCCAGATTTTCAGAGCCGTGATGTGGTGTCACCCAAAGCCAGAGATGAGCCAAGCATGAGTTCAGTGCGTCATGCCGAGGAGCAAGGAACATGTTTGTCCTCGCTTCCCTTCTGGCTTGTCAGTCTTGGCTTGATTTTGTTTTAAAATTTATTTTGTTTTATGTGTATGTTTGTATGTATATGAGTGTCTGCCACCGATATGTGGGTGGGAAGGAAGACAGAAGAGGGCATCAAATCCCTGAAGATGGAGTTACAGACGGTTAGAAGTCACCTGACATTGGTACAAGGAACCAAACTTGGATCCTCTGGAAGAGCCGTAGAGTAGTAGGTGATCTTACCACTGAGCCATCCCCCAGCCTGTTTCTGTTTGTGTGTGCTCGGGTTTCTGGAGAATGGGGAGATGAGACATGTAAGCGCAGGTACCCTCAGAGGCCAGAAGAAGGTATTGGATCCCTTGGAGTGAGTTAAAGGCAGTTATGAGCCACCCAAAGTGAGTGCTGAAAACCAGCTGTGTCCTCAGCAAGATCAGTGTAAGCTCTTAACCACTGAAGCTGTCTCCCAGGCCCTCTGTTGGCATTTCTGAAGCACCCTAGGCTAGCTTCCAGGGGGTGCTTAAAGACTACCTAGCATTTCTTCTTTGCACTTTAGACATATAAGCTCTAAGAATAGGTTTTCTCTGCTGATCTCTGGAAGAATCCCTTGAAAGGTTATAAGTGTGATAAGTGATCTCTCACTTGCTTTTGTAGATTTTTGTTTGTTTTTGACATAGGGTTTCTTTGTGTAGCCCTGGTTTTCCTGTAGATCAGGCTGGACTTAAACTAAGAGATCTGCCTTCCTCTGCCTCCTGAGTACTAGGATTAAAGGTGTGCGCCACCACTACCCATGTAGATGTTTTTTAAAACTCTTATTGATGTCCCAGAATCCTAACAAAGGACAAGGAAAAACAGAGCCTGGGGACTTTGTCCAGCATGCTACATGTGCCAGAAGAGCAGCTAACACCGGATGACGTCCTGGAGCATTGCCTGCCACTGCTGTCTGCAAAGAAAATACTCAGCTCACCTGCACGCTCATTCAAGAATAAGAGGTG